ACAGAGATTGAAAAATCTACCCTAAAGTTCATTTGGAATCACAAGAGACCACAAATAGCCAAGGCAATACTTAGCAAAAAGAGCAATGCTGGAGGTATCACAATACCTGACTTCAAACTATATTACAAATCAATAGCAATAAAAACAGCATGGTATTGGCACAAAAATAGATATGAAGACCAGTAGAACAGAATAGAGGACCTGCATATGAATCCATACAGCTATGTCCACCTTATTTTTGACAAAGGTGCCAAAGACATATGATGGAGAAAAGACAGCCTCTTCAACAAATGTTGCTGGGAAAAGTGGTTATCTGCTGCAAAAAACTGAAACTAGATCCATGTTTATCACCCTATACTAGTATCAACTCAAAATGGATCAAGTTAGTACAGGAAAGAGCAGGAAATACTCTGGAAGAAATAGGGATAGGCAAGAACTTTCTCAATGGAACCCCAGAAGCTCAGCAACTAAGAGAAAGTATGGACAAATGGGATTTCATAAAACTAAAAAGCTTCTGCACAACAAAAGAAATGGTCTCCAAACTGAAGACACCACCCACAAAGTGGGAGAAAATATTTGCCAGCTATACATCAGACAAAGGACTGACAACTAGAATATACAGGGAACTCAAAAAACTAAACTCTCCCAAAATCAATGAGCCAATAAAGAAATGGGCAACTGAACTAACTAGAACTTTTTCAAAAGAAGAAATACAAATGGCCAAAAAACACATGAAAAAATGCTGACTATCTCTGGCCATAAAGGAAATGCAAATCAAAACAACTCTAAGATTCCACCTCACCCTGTTAGAATAGCTATCATCAAAAACACCACCAACAGGTGTTGGCGAGGATGTGGGGAGAAAAGGAACCCTCTTACACTGCTGGTGGGAATGCAAGCTAGTGCAACTGCTCTGGAAAAAAATATGGAGGCTTCTTAAAAATCTAAACATAGACCTGCCATATGATCCAGCAATCCCACTCCTGGGGATATACCCAAAGGAATGAGACACAAGTTACTCCAGAGGCACCTGCACACCCATGTTTATTGCAGCACTATTCACAATAGCCAAGTTATGGAAACAGCCAAGATGCCCCATCACCAACAAATGGATTAAGGAAATGTGGTATTTATACAAAACGGAATTTTACTCAGCCATGAAGAAGAATGAAATCTTATCATTCGCAAGTAAATGGATGGAACTGGAGAACATCTTCCTGAGCGAGGTTAGCCAGGCTCAGAAGACCAAAAATCGTATGTTTTCCCTCATATGCAGACTTTAGATCTAGAGCAAATGCAGTAGCGTTGTTGGACTTGGGTCACATGACAAGGGGAGAGCACATACAGGAGGTATGGGGATAGGTAGGAAACCCAAAACTTGATAGTGTTTGATGTCCCCACTGCAGAGTAGCTAATACAGAAACCTTAAAGCAACAGAGGTCAATATGGGAAGGTGACTGGGAAGTAGTGAAGAGGTCAGGTAGAGATGAATCAATTCAGGTTGTAATACACTTGTGCATGGAATCAATGCTAGGAATCTCTCTGTATAGCTATCCTTATCTCAACTAGCAAAAACGCTATGTCCTTCTTATTATTGCTTATGTCTTCTCTTCAACAAAATTAGAGATAAGGGCAGAACAGAAGCGAGGGGGGATGTGGGTGAGAGGGAGGTGGCGGGGGGTGGGCAGGGGGAAGAAATGGCCCAAACAATGTATGCACATGTGAATATATGAATAAAGAAAAAAAATTAGTCTGGTGGGTATAAAATCATATGCATCTGTCGTATTTATGTCTCTACTAATGAGACTGATAATTTTGTCATGTGTTTTTAGTCCATGTGTATCTTTGTTTTCTTCTGTGGTGCTTGGACTTGAATTCAGGACCTTGAGCAGGCTAGAAAAACACTCTACCATTGAGTTCCACTCTCAGCCCACCTGTATAAAAATTTTAATAGCTTTTTAGATTTTGAAATTTGAAAATTATAGAAAATTCCAATAAATGTATCCACATTTGCTTTATCATTTTTAAAAATCTGAACAAGTTCAGAAGTTAAATCTACAGTTGCCTTTACTATTCAGTACTTTAATATTTCCTAAGAATAAGGACATTTGCTAACCTAACAGCATGGTATCATCAAAAGCAGGAATTTTTTCTTTTGGAGTATTTACTGGGTTTTGAATTCAGGGCCTCACACTTGCTAGGCAGGTGCTCTACCACTTGAACCACTCAGTCAGCCCTTTTTTGTGTTGAGTATATTTGAGATAGGGTTTCACCAACTATTTGCCCAAGGCTGGCTTCAATCCTCCTGATCTCTGCCTCCCGAGTAGCTAGGATTACAGACATGAGCCACTGGTGCCCAGCAAAAACAGGAAATTTAACATGAATACAATCTGCAGTCTATACTAAGTTTTGTCAATTATCTCAGTGCCCATTATAGTTTTTCTCCCCCTCCTCGTCCAGAACATTCCAGGATCACCTATATTTCATCCTCATGTCACTGGTTCTCAGTAACCTGTAACAGGTCCTATAACAATTTTTGAAGTAACCTGTAACAATTCCCAGTTAACCTATAACAATTTTTGAAGTGTCCTGGCTGGTTATTTTTAGAATATCCCTCAAATTTGGATTCTTATGTTTTCATGCAAGTTACATGTATGAGGAAGGGAAAGCACAGTAGTAGTGTGTCTTCAGGGACTTGGGTAGAGGTTCAGCAAATCAGTTTGTCACAGAGAAGCTGATGACAGTGATCATTTGGTTAGGATGTTGACCACCAGGTTTTCCCTTTTAAATGAATAATTTGTCAGAGAGACACTGATAGCATAAATATCTGTTCCTCATCAAACTTCCACTCACCCATTATAACATCTATTTTGTGTGTGTGTGTGTGTGTGTGTGTGTGTGTGGTGGTAGTACTGGGCTTTGAACTCAGTACCCCATGGTTGCTAGGTAGGCTGTCTATCACTTGAGCCACAAACCCAGCCTCTATAGCATCCATTGATGATTTATTTCTTATAAACTTACTTGTTACCATTCCACTGTAAGTAGGAGTTTTCCATTTTCATTTATTTATCTCAATATAGACTTTTAATATTATCCAATGCTTTATAATCCATTGTAATCATCTGCTTTGATGCTCTAATTGTCCTAGACCTGAACAGTAGGACAGTCTTTGAAGCTTACTCCTGAATTTCTTTTTTTCCAGAGCTGGGGATTGAACCCTGGTCCTTAACACAGTTCTAGGTAAAGGCTTTACACTGAGGTACATTCGCCAACCTTGAATCCTTTTGATATGTCCCCATTGTCCATTGAGCACGTTCTTATTTTCTGTTGCTATAAGATGTCTTTTCCTTTACTTTCCCTAGAATCATCCATTTTTCTCAAGGAGCTTCAGATCCTCTTAGTAGAGAATGGTATTAAGAAACCAGTTTCTGGGTGCTGAGTGGGCTCATTGCTATGAGACCCATGGAAAAGAGGCAGAAAATTATGGTGTGTATCCATGGGGGCAGAAATGGGGGTGATGGGTGATAAGCATTCTATCCATGAGTTCACACTAATACCTCCGATTCCAATCCAACACCTCATACATTATATTCTGTTTTCATTCTTTTCCATGTTTGTAACACCTTTTTTAAAGACATTCATTTGAATAAACATATAGGAAGGAATTTCATAATTATTAAACCATTGGAAAATGAAGAAATGTGCTTTCTACAGCTAAGTGCAGTGTTCTATATTCCAATTTTCCCCAAACCTTTCACAGTTTTATTTGGATATTCCATCTATTTATTGATACTGTGTCTAGTTTTAGCATTTCCTGTTTGTCTCTTCCCTTGGTTGTGTCCCATTTTTTTGCAAGCCTTATTATTAGGTACAAGACCAGTTGTGATTTTTATGTGTTTCTCATGAAGCAACTGTTTTGACTGTATACTTGTTATTTCAGGGGGGTCTCCCCATCTTGAAGTCTACTCTGTCTCAATGGAGTACTACAGCTCTTCCAGTTAGCCTTTGAATACCATGTATCTTTCCATACTCAAGTCCCTTTCAAATTGCCTGTGTCTCTTGTATGTGACATTAGTTAGGAATTGCTTTTTATGTCTACTCTGACGAGTTTTACTTTTTAATTGGAATAGTCAATGCACATTTAATGTATTAGCAACCTGATTTTTTATAATATTCCTAGTTGTTTTCAGTTTGTTCCTTCTGACTTTATTTCTCTGTTACTTATTCTTGCTTTCTTAACCAAATTCAAATACATTAATCTCGATTGCAATTTCTCTGTTACTGTATTAACTCTATGTCTTTGCATTAATTTTAATTGTTTTAAGAACTGCAAGCCAGGCACCAGTGGCCCATACCTGTAATCCTAGCTACTCCGGGGTTAGAGAGAGATCAGGAGGATCACGGTCCAAAGGCAGCCCAGACAAATAGTTTTCGAGACCCTATTTTGAAAATACCCAACCAAAACAGGGTTAGTGGAGTGGCTCAAGTGGTGGAGCGCCTGCGAGAGCGAAGCCTTACGTTCAAATCCAAGTACCACCAAAAAAAAAAAAAAAAGAATTGCAATACGCAGGGTTGGAGGCATGGCTCAAGCGCTAGAGTGCCTGCCTTAACTACGCTCAGTGCCTACCACGTGATATGAAATATGAGATCCTGGCGGCAGCGCAGTGACACTGCCCACCGCCACCTTTTTTTTGCTGATGTTGCATCTACATATCATCCACCACCAGCCGCAGGGAAGGCCGGCCAGGAGCGCACTGGACTGCCCGCCTCTTGCGGGTGTGAAAGGGGAGGAGCCAGGTGTCCCGGGGACTCAGCGTCACCGATCGATGGCTCTCGCTTCCGCTTGCCGAGCCTGTGGGATCGACGCTCCGGGATCGGCTGCGGCGCCTGGGGCGCCTGGAGCGCGGGCGCGCGGCGCAGGTGGGAGGCGGTGCCGAGGGACCGGGTCGGTCGCGGGGGGCCCGGCGGGCGGGCGCACGTGGCGCCGGGTGACGCACGTGGCTCTGGGGGGCGCACGTGGCCCGCAGTGCGCGCCGCGCTCCTCAGCCCCTGGGCTGCGCGCATTGGTGACCACGCGCATTCGCGTTCGTCCCTGCAGGCCCCGGGAGCGTGCGGCTGAACCCCATCTGCCAGGAAAGTGATCGATGCCACTGCATCCGAAAAGGGTCTGGAAGAACAAGCATTGTCCCTTTTTTTTTCAAACCGGTACTTTTAGACTTTAAAAAGTTCTTAGAAATCCCCGCTTAGGAGCCCAGTGCCGTCATTTTAGGGTAAGGGACACAAGCTGCGTGCAGAGCTGGGTGGCCTGCCTCCGTGTCCCAAGCCCAGAGTTATCTATCCCCTCATCCCAGGAGTTGCTTGCATTACACGGTTTAGAACTGCTCCCGTCTTCCCCCTCCCCCACCAGTGAATTCATAAAAATGTCTTTAACCCGCATGTGTTTTATTTTTTAGGATGAAGAAGGCGTCCAAGCGAATAACATGCGATCAGATAGCATCCCGCTTTTTATGAATTCAAGTCAGGAAAGTAAAAGTCAAGAGTTGCTACCTTTCTTCTGAGATAGCCAGTGTTTTGTGACTTGGATCATCCGCTTTTTCTAGTATTCATGATGTCGGAGGAGAAATCTCCTAAGAAAAAGAGACCCCGTAGGAGCCTGTCAACCATCAAAACTGCAAAAACCTCACCTCATTCTATCATTTCATATTTTAACAGTGCGCCGCCAGCTAAACTTGCCTGCCCCATTTGTAGTAAAATGGTGCCAAGATATGACTTAAACCAGCACCTTGATGAGATGTGTGGTGACAGCGGAGGCATTGTTCAAGAGCATCCCGCACAGGTCGGCTTACCGAATTCACATGTGTCCTCAGCAAATTTGACCTACGTTGCCTTAGGACAGGTAACGTCAGAGAAGTCGCCACCAAAGACAAATTTAACCCCTGACCAAAGCGGTTCAGCAAAAACGAACATAACACAGCAGACCAGTCCCTACTTTAAAAGTAAGGATGCCTTGATGTGCAAAAGCCAAGATGAACTAAGAAACAATAATGTGAAAATCATTTCTTTGGGAAGCCTGTCATCCAAATTGTCCAGAAAATACATAAAGGCTAAAAAGTCACTAGATGAGAATGAGGAACTTGCCAGTCATTGTCTGCAGAGTTCCATAGCCACAGCTTTTGGGAGCTGTTCAGAAATTGAGGACAAAGGTGAAATTTTGGAGAACAGTTCTCAAAAGGAAAACATTTTTACATGTGATTCTCTAGAGGGAGAGAATAGTCTGGAACACAGAGTAAAAGTCGGTAAGATAATGGAAGATGGAAGTCAAAAGGGTACCGAGGAATGTGTGAAGTCAGCTATCACTTCTGGGTTCTCAGATAATGCTCCCATGTTATTTTCACCGGATTTATCTCTTAGGAATAATTTAAAGTCTTTAGAAGACAGTCTTGTAAAGCAAGAAAGTGTCAAAGAAACAGACGAAGTGGCTGAAAAGCATGAGGTAGGCAGTTGTGAAGAAGAAATGACTGTTGGTTCAGAGGTTGAAACACAGTTGTCAAAATCAGAGGTGAAATCTCACAGTTCTACAAATGATGCTTCTAAATGTAGTAATGTCCATGAATTTCCTTTGGAAGGTGACAGCGGCTTAATGAACAAAGTCACTTGCGACACTCCTCCAGAGCAGGGGTCAAGTTGCGATGCTCCTGGTAAGACAACTCAGACACCACCCAGTCATCCTTACTACCTTCGGAGCTTCCTCATGGTGCTGAAAGCTGTAGTGGAGAGCGAAGATGATATGGTGCTCTTTGATGAACAGGAGAAGGGAATTATAACTAGCTTTTATCAATTATCAGGTACCTTCAGCCCATTTGCTTTCAGATTTTTGTTTTCTATTTGCTGTCCTGATTTGAATGTGATGGGGGTTAGTAATCTAATGACCACAGGGTGTCACTGTGGTGTTGTAAGTGCACTGTCAAGAGTATTACGGGCATCAGTCTTCTACAAGCTTTGTATCAAGGATATGCTTGTAGAGACGTTTTTGTGCCTGGTGATGTCTAGGGTACAAGTGGTAATTTGATTACAATGGAAGCAACTGTTTTATGTGTGGTAAAGCCACCTTGTTAGGAAGAAAATAAAGCCTAATGTGGAAAAAGCATAGCTTTGCATTTTGAGCTTGTAATCATGCTTCTGTTAGGTTGCTTTTGTTTTCACACTCATTTCTTCAAGAATAAAAGTAAAATAAAATACAGGGAAAAAAACCAAACCAATATGAGGCACATTTTCTTCCCCTCAACAGAATTTAGATTCGTGGACTCTGCTTTTTAATGTCAGGGAGGACATGAAAACTCATAGACTTAGGGCACATGTAATAATATTAGTCTTTTCCTCAAATCCTTGGCAGCCAGTGGTGGTCACAAGCCAGTAGTGCAGGTTTGGAACAGAAGCCACTCTTGTTGGGCTGCTCTGTTAATCCAAAGGACCATGGTGGCTCTGTGGAACTGAATCCCTCCAAGGTACAAAGAGTTTGTTTGGCGGCCACATTGTCCTCTAGTAAAGTGTAGCCATGTTGGAGATTAAAAAAAGAAAAAAAGAATCCTAAACATTACCACGAATGTTTAAGAGAAGAACTTTTGTTTCAGATTCACACAGTGGCACTGGAGTGTTTCTTATATTAATAGCACTCTACCACTCGAGCCAGTCTGTCAACCCTCTTACAGTGATGGGGTTTTGTTTTTTTTTTTGAGATAAGGTCTTGCAAACTACTTGCCTAGGGCTTGTTTCAAACCCTGATCCTCCTGATTTCTGCCTCCTGAGTAGCTAGGATAACAGGCATGAGCTACTTCTGTGCATGAAGAAATATATACATAGACAAATATATGCTTTATATGAAAATTGCTGTTTATTTAAATGTTTTTGATTTTGCTTCTTTAAAGGAAAATGTCAAAAATTAAAAAAATACAATTACACCATTTTAGAATTGACAGAAATTTAAAGGTAATTCAGGTAATAAGGAAAAAGATCAGGTGTGGCTCAAGTGGTAGAGAGCCTGCTTTGCAAGAATGAAACCCTGAGTTCAAAACCCATATCCGACTACAAAAATAAAAAGGAATAAAGACTAAACAGGTTAAATAGATTGGCATAGATCCCTGAGTTAGAGAGAGAAAACTGCCCTGCCAAATCTAGGCATTTCAGGTGGAAAATTCTTTTTAGGTTATTATTTACTTTATTTTATTATTATCTTTTAATTTTTTTATTGTACATTGTGACATTTACAAAAGTTCTTGCAATGTATCCTAGTTGAATTCACCCCCTCCATCATTCTCCTTTATCCCCACTCACTCCATTCCTAAAATAGTTTCAATTGGTCTCATTTTTCCATTTTCATACATGTGTACAAAGTATTTGCACCATATTCACCCTTTTTAGATTATTTTTGACCAAAAATAGAATAATATATATTAAACTAAAGGTAAAGAAAAAAATAACTGGAATTCTACAGAGATTTTCTCTGAAGGAATGGAGAGATTGGCTAGAAAATGGGGGAATTGATTTACTGAGCAATTAATATTCATTATCAAATTGGAATATTTTTGATAGTTTATACCATAAAATGACATCATTATACACAAATAAGTATCTGTGCATTCCTAGTAAAGTGTATGTACTCCTCTCATGTGTAAAAAGCATCTGTATGTTGTTTTGGAGAAGAAAGCTAATAATTTTCACTATTTTTCTTAACTTTCTTACAGCTAGTGGTCAGAAGTTGTATGTAAGGCTCTTTCAACGTAAATTAACCTGGATTAAGATGAGTAAATTAGAATATGAAGAGATTGCCCCAGATTTAACACCTGTAGTTGAAGAATTAAAGCATGCAGGCTTTCTACAAACAGGTATGCTGAGCAGAAAGAACTGTGAACAGAAAATGTGACCTGAAGAATTTAGTTTCTGCGGAATGATGGCAGTATTAGTGTAGTGTCATATCCTGGTTGGTGCCTGCTAATAATAAGTGTTTCTTTTTAAATCGAGTTTTTAATCTTAAAGCAACAGATTATTCCTGTGATGCTAAAGCCATTGGTAGCTTGGGTTAAGAGGATAGTGAAAGATGGTCTGCTGTTACAGGCTTAGAACCTAACATCATCTAGGGGTAGATTTGTCACAGAAGAAATACATTTCTCATCAGTGCTTTCCTTCCAGCCAGAATTTAACTCAGATGTCCATCTCTATGATAAAATAAAGCTGGCTTGTTTGAAATGGTGATTGTCTTGAAAAACTACCCCCACATGTGCACACATGCAGGTCTTTAAAACATTTTTTTAAAAATTAAGACATATTTGTTGCACAGGGGTGATTCATTGTGACAATTCTGAATAAGTTTACATTGGTTAGCTCGCCCCCACCATCTCTCCTCTGCCACCCCCTCCCCGGCCTACTTAAAGCAAATGCAAGAGGTTTCTTTGTTCTGTTTCATATAGGTATATGAAGTCCATCCACCATATTCCATCACCTTCATCTCCTCCATTCACCCTTCCTCCCCCAATTACCCTCCCACACATATATACACTGTACCTATTTTACAGTTCTTTCATTATTAATTCCTAAGTCAATGTTCAAAGGGGTTTCTTGATGTATCCCCACTGTGAGTATACATTACTTTGGTCTGTTCAAACCCTTCCATTACTCTCCCTTACCCCATTTACCTCCTACCCCTCCATTTTTCACCAGCTTTCAATACACATCCTTATGTCCTTTACCTTCACATCTTGTGGTATGTGATATTACTGATGTTCTATCGTTCTCTTTTCCTTTCCCTGAGTTCCATAGAGTAGCTCCATGGTTATAAACATGCTCTACATCTGAGTTTGTACATGATCATGCTTGTTTTTGTGTATATGTTTATCTTTGGATCTATCTTCCACATATGAGAAAAAAACATGTAGCCTTTGTCTTTCTGAAACTGCCTTACTTCACTTAACATGATGTCCTCCGATTGCATACATTTACCTTCAAACCACATGTCATTATTCCTTATGGCTGAGTAAATTGTGTGTGTGTGTGTATTTACACATATCACATTTTTTTGACCCATTCATCATTTGTAGGGCATCTGGGTGGATTCCATAGCTGGCTATCGTAAACAGTGCATTCATGCATGTCTTCTGTGTTGATATCCTACAGAATTGTTTAGTGATTTAAAACCCTGAAAGAGAATGTATCTTTTCCAGTGATACCCTGGGTGGTTTTATCAGTGGTATTCATTAAGTACCTTGGTGTACAATATTGTGTGGAAACAGGTATAAGCAGAATGAAAGACATAACCCATGAATTCAGATTGCTAACACTTTAGAAGAAATAAGTATCAAGACAGATGGTTTCTCTAGGGCAGAGTTTGCAGTAGGGAGCCAGTGGGTAAAGGTGAAGCTGGGTGATTGTTAGGATGGGACTGGATAGGGTACATACAGGGAATGTTGAGGACAGGCACGGAGTTTCTGCTAGCTTGGGTGTGAATAGTTAGGCAGGGGGACATGGGACCCTCCACGGAGCAGTGCTTCCCACACGTCAGTGCTATCAGGGTAATAGGATAGATTCTTGGTCCCCACCTGGTTTGGAAGATCTTATGCAGATTCTGTCAGTTGGCATGTTTGATAGATATTCCGTGTGACTACTGTCAGCGACTTTAAAAAACACCTTTATTCAATGAAACCAAAACCCCAATAGTTTACCGTTGCATTTAATTCAGTTCAAGTCTTGTCTCTGATGCACACAGCCCTGTGGCTCCTGGTTGGTGCAGGCCGTCCTTGCTCGCTCTGCTGTAGCCACAGAGCTCCCCCTCCTCGGTGGTCTCTACCAGGCCGAGTACACTCCTGTCTCAAAACCTTGGACTCAATATTCCTTCCACAAAGGACAGTTTCCATTGCCTGGCTACCCTGTATAACATAGCCAGTCTCTGTTTGCCTCACCTGGTTTTATTTTTCCTTGTAGCAGTTACTATAATTCTTACTTATTATGCCAAGAGGTAAGCTCCTTGTGGGTGAGGAACTTGTTTACTGCAGTGTGCCCAGGGTCTTAGAACATTACCCAGCATGCAGTGTATGCCCAGTGAGTGTTTGTTGCATGGAGGAAGAAAGCATTGTCCTAAACCGTGAATGCCCTACTGGCAGAGACAGCAGGGTCTGATTCAGCCGAATGCCTAGGGCCTGGTGCAGTGCCTAGGGGCCCACAATAGCAGGATGCTGAAGGAGTGAGCCCGGGAAAGGTTAAGGAGGGGGCTAGAAGAGAAAAGAGCTGTTCACTCTGTGACCTGGTTTGGAGAGGCCCCCTCGGAGGTTTTGAGAAGACAGGAACCTAAACTGTAGTCATTGTCCATATGTGTCTTTATTGTACTCCCATTTTCCTTCACTTTTTAGAGACACATTTTTATTATTTTTTAATTTTTTAAATATGTCTATTTTCCATGGTCTCATGCAGAGTTTGGGAAACTCTTTGGTAAACTAATTAAACTTTCTACAGTAAAGTTTCATTTTATTTGCATCTAGCTAAGCTTCCTTCTTCTCCAAATACATAAAATTAGAAAACAAAATCTTTAAAACTATTTTTTAAATTTATCATTGTTTACTATTTCAGAATCTGAGTTGGAAGACCTCTCTGAAGTACTTGAACTCCTTTCTGCTCCTGAACTGAAGGCCCTAGCCAAGACCTTCCACTTGGCGAATCCCAGTGGACAGAAACAGCAGCTGGTGGACGCTTTTCTCAAACTGGCCAGACAACGTTCAGTCTGCACTTGGGGCAAGAATCAGCCTGGAATTGGAGCAGTGATTTTAAAAAGGTTTGTTGGCCATTGTAACAGTAAACACATTTAAAATGTAGATAGTATAGATATTCTAGATTGCATACTTTTTGGAATTACAATTATTTATTTTAGTTGCAATTAGATTAGTAGGCTGGAAGGGCCTTAATTATAATGGTCTAGACTCTTTCTTGGCTTCTTAGTTAAAATTCTTATTGTAAGATCATACTAACTTTTAGAACCAAGGAAAACCAATAGGCAACAGAGCAAAGGTAATAGACCTTTGACAACTGGTAGTATTTTATCCAAGAAAAATAGTTTTAATTACTGTTTTTACAGATTTTAGGGTAAGCTATATAGGCACATTTTTATTTTAGTAGACTTTTTCTTGAAATGTAATCAGTCAGTTTTAATATTGCATCTGTTTTTGAGTTCAAACACAGAAATTTGCCAAAAACTGTGGGTGGTTTCTTTCATCCTTGGGAACCCCTTGAACTATTTTAGTTTGGGGAAGATTAGAAAAACTTTTAGGGTTGATTTTTTTTTTTTTTTTTTTTTGGCCATGTCATCTATAAATGTAGCCTGGGAATCCAATATTCTGGGGTAGCTGAGGATAAAATGAGATGATGCCTTTTGATTTAACTTTTTATTTTTTGGTAGTACTGGGTTTTGAACTCAGGGCTTTGTCCTTCCTCGGCAGATGCTCTACCATTTGAGCCCTACCCTCAGGCTTTTTTGCTTTTAGTTATTTTTCAGGTAGGCCTCACACTTTTGCCTGGGATCAGCCTCAGCCCATGATCCTCCTACCTTCACCTCCCATGTAGCTGTGATTACAAACGAGGGCCACCATACCCACCTTGTGTTTAGAGCCAGGGTCTTACTAACATTTTGCCCTGGCTGGCCTTGAATTATGATATTCCTATCCTCCCAAGAGTCTAGCATTATAGACATGAACTACCATGTCCAGCCTTAGATGATGCTTTGGAAAACACTTTAAGACAGTGTCATTGTTGTTTATTTTATATATTACATATGCATCTATATGTATAAAAGAGAGTGAAATTTAGTAAATTATAATAGTTGACTTCAGAAGTATAAAATCCCTGTCCCTATGATATGTTAAATGTCTTCAAAGTTCTTTCTTCATCTGTTTATATTCCTTCAGTATTAACCTTATATGTGGTAAACATGACATTTGCACTTCTCTTAGTACAAGCACTTAGAATGGGAACAGGTAGAGTGAAGAAATAAGTTAAGCCTTTTTTAACATTGACTTTGAAGTTGCAGGAAAATACAATTCTCAAGGCTATTTTAGTTTTCCTAAAATCTTTTAAGATCATACCTGTTTTTTCATTTTGATGTGGTCCCGACAGCTCCACACCTGGGCATTTTCCATTATCTTTTTCTATAGTTACTGTGAGGAAATGAGAATGCATGTCATTTGTGCTTTCTTCATCTTAGGAGAGTCGCTCCTTGGTTTTCCATGTTTCCCTGCTGCCCAGAGGCCTGCTCCACTGGGGCTCTGTGTGCAGGTGAAGAAATGAACACTTTTCCTTCCTTCCTCCCTCCCTCCCTCCCTCTTTCTTCTTCTTTCTTTCTCTTTCCAGTGCTGTGATCCAACCCAGGGTCTCAGGCCCTAGGCAACCAAAGAGCCTAGTGGATTCTTTTTGGCAGTCTTTGCAGACTTGAGGTAGAGTGGCAGTGTGATAGGAATCCAGTTCTTGTTCCCTCAGGTCTGATGGTGGCACTAATGTCTGTGTCTCTCCCACGGTTGCTTTGGAAGCTTCTGGATGGGAAGGTGTTGAGGTCTTTACTAGGCCAGTGATTCTCAAATAGGGCTTATTTTTGCCTCCCCAGAGAGCATCTGGCATTATCTAGGGGACAGTTTTTGGTTGTCACCACTGGAAGATGGCATCCTGTGAGTAGAGGCCAGGGACTCTGCTGAACACACTGCAGTGTTCAGGACAGGTCCCACAACAGTGACCCAGCACAAAGGCCAACAGCACTGAGGCTGAAAAACCCTGCTTTCAATGCTGTTTAAGTTGCTAGAGACCAGACGCCCACACAGACCTCAAACTCACCTGCAGACATCTAGAATTTAACTGAACTCACTCTGAGATCACCATGGAATGAAGCGTTCCTGGACTGCTTTGTACATTAGAGAATGGCACCCAGCCTTGCTGTGGATTTGTACGACTTCCTGTCACAAACTGTGCTGCATTACCAAATGCTATTGTTGATGACATTTGAAATGTCCATTCTTTAATTGCAGTTACCACTCAAGTCAATAAAATAGTTGAGAGCGTGAATGTCAAAGATGTAATAAATACTTCCATGAGTTTCCCTGCTGTGTGCATGACCAGGGTAGACCCCACATAGTCTGTGGCTAGGGAAGGGAACACTTTCTTTTCTTTTCTTTGGTGGTACTGGGTTTTGAACTCAGGGCCTCACACTTGCGGGGCAGGTGCTCTACTGCTTGAGCCACTCCACCAGCCCTGTTTTGCGTTGAGTTTTTTCGAGATAGGGTCTTGCAGACTATCCACCTGGGCTAGTTTCGAACCTTGATCCTCCCAATCTCTTCCTCCTGAGTAGCTAGGAGTATAGGCGTGAGCTCCCAGTAACCAGCAGGAAGCGCTTTTTGAGCCAAGCTATGCTTGAGACCATTTGGAGATAAAGCTTCATTCATTCCTCTGTGTCCCAGAGTGGGGCTCTGACCTTTGGAGTGGTGAAGTAACACTATCGTCACACAGCTGGGACTGATAGATTTGTTTCAGAATAATAAGTGCACTTATCTTTATTTTAGGTGAGAATAACTTGTAAAGCCTCATATCTAAATCCTTAAAAACCAGAAATGCATTTCTCTGTTGTATTTTTTTTTTTTAGAGCAAGAGACTTGGCTGGACGGTCACTACGAGTCTGTAAAGGCCCCAGGGCCGTGTTCTCCCGGCTTTTGCTACTGTCCTCATTGACTGATTCTGTGGAGGATGAAGAGGCTGCTTGTGGAGGTCAAAGTCAGCTTTCTACTGTGCTGTTGGTAAATCTTGGCCGAGTGGCGTTCCCTGCTTACACCATCAATCGGAAAACCCAAATCTTCCAGGACAGAGAAGATCTGATTAGGTAGGATCGTGTTAACTCGTTTATCTGTGTGTATTTCAAAACCTAATAAAACTTTTATTATTTATCCTTGCCAGCCAAAGTAGAAACATTAAGTTCATAGCAGAAACCATTTTTGAAGTTTTTTGAGTTTTGTTATCTTTTGCCTGACTTGTACACATTTCTAAGTCTGTAGGGAGAATGTTGAAATAAATGTGCCAAGGTGGCCAAAACCAATGAGTTTGAGTTAGAGCTACAAAAATTTTTTCCCATCTTATGTTCCCAAATAGTTTTGGCAGGAAGCACTTTTTTAGATACAGACATTTTAACAACCCTGCCTCATAAATATGTTTTTAGAATGAACAAGAGGAAGATGAATGTTTTCCTAGTAATAAACTAGTAATACTTCAGGTAAAGCTGATAGTAACTTGTGCACTGTGTACAAGAATCAAATACATCATTAATAAGTTAGACTTTTCACTAACATATTGATACATGGACTTAATGAAAATTTGGTTTGATTAGCAAAAGTGAATGTTGATAAGAAAGAATAGTATAGGTTTTACAAAAAAAAAATACTTGCATTTTTTTTTCTTTTGTTGTTTTTGAGACAAGATCTTTGTATAAAACTGAAACCCTGGCTGGCCTGGAATTCAGAATCTTCCTCCCTTAGTCTTCTGAGTGCTGGGATTACAGGTGTGCACCACACACCCAGCTGCATTTCCTTAAAAAAAAAAACAAGACCAAAACATATATTATAAGAAAAATTAAATTGGCTTTCCTTAAATGTCACTTTTGAGTTTTAAAAAAAATTTTTTTTTGGTAATACTGGGGTTTGAACTCAGGTCCTTGCACTTGCTAGGCAGATGCAGTATGACTTGAATCACACTCCTAGCTACTGATTCTTGATTTAAGATTTATGACTCATATTTACTCAAAATTGATTGAGATACTTGCTTTTGGGGGAGCTCTTTAACTGTTGTTTAGAATAGCCATGCTCTTTAAAAAATAAGTTACTGAAACTATTGAATCTTAGCAGTGTCCAGTATAAACTGGTTTTAGCCTATTTGGCTTTAGCTGTCAGGAAGTGTCATGTTTATTTGTGTTCGTGTGGAATAACTTTCTTTTTTTTGGGAGAGGAGTGCGGGGGCCATGCTGGGGTTGAATTCAGGGCCTCACGCTTGCTAGACAGGTGCTCTACCTGCTGAGCCATGCTCCAGCCATTTTGAGATTAGAGTCCTGCTTTATGCCTGGGCCAGCCTGGAATACAGTTCTCCTATTTATGCTTCCCGAGTATCTGGGATAACAGGCCTGTGCCCCTGCACCCTGCTTTTTATTGGTTGAGATGGAGTCTCACCAAACTTTTTGCCTGGGCTGGTCTCAAATAGTGATCCTCCCAATCCACCTTGCATAGCTAGGACTATGGGTTTGAGCCACTGCACCTGGCCTTGGGATAACTTTCTTAACTAAATCTTTAAACCTGAGAACTTCTTACCCTGTTTTCAGTTGTCTCATGTCTTTTTCCTGTTTTTATTCTAGTGTGTTTGCTTTTTTTCTTTTTTATGAGGCTGTGCACTCTGAAACCAAGTTTCAGTCTCACTGTTCTCATGGACTGTGAAGTCATTCTGTGCCTCAGTTTGTCTCCTCCTCTGAAAACAGGGTGAATAATAGTTTATTCTTGCAGATGAGTATGGATACATGGGACACATGTGCTCAGAGCCTGCCCTTTGGGGAATACCTAGTACATGTCATTATTGTAATTGCCATTATTTCTGTTATATTTAAGGGGATTACTTTAGTTCTGTGATTGACAAAACCATGGTTGACAAGTTCATGGGTGAGGAGTCCAGGATGAAAAAATAATCCATCTCATATTCTTTCTAGAGAAAATATATAAAAATAATTAAAGCTCCCTTTGTTATGAAATTGGATTTAACTGACTTCAGGAACCCTTTTTCTCACTTCTGTACTTGAGATAATTGACCCTCACTTATTCACTAACAACGAGTGCAGTGTTGGGTTCTGATTGTGGCAGAGCACTGGTGGCTCACGCCTGTAATCTTAGCTACTCAGGAGGCAGAGATCAGGAGGATCTCCGTTTGAAGCCAGCCCAGGCAAATAGTTCGTGAGACCTTATTTCTAAAAAAAACCATCACAAAAAAGGGCTTGTGGAGTGGCTCAGAAATGTGCCCTGAGTTCAAGCCCCAGTACTGCAAAAAAAAAAGTTCCACCTGTGCTCCTAGATAGCAAGTGAACAGGATTGGGTCATGGGCTACATTTCAGTAGGGAAATAAATAATAAACAGAGTAATTGTAGTGTGTGAAAGTACTGTGACAATTGAGGGGCAGAAGTTCTAGTTTATGGAGAGTCAGATAGTGGCTTTGCAGAGGTGACACTGGAAACAAGACTTAAGGATGAGAAGGAGGTGGCCATGTCAGAGTTCGGGTGCTGCATACAGGAAAGGAGGTGAGCTGGGTGTGTACACAGGCCTGTGTACAACCCTGAGGCAGCGAAGAGCTGGCTGAGCTGTAGAAACGAAGAAGTCCTCTGTGGCTAAAGCTCCAGGAGACAGTGGTTCAAAGGAAAGGTACACAGGGACTGGGATCACAGGGTCCAAAGGATGCTTTGCCTTGGTGCCCTGGTGAGTAGAATCTGTTCTTCCGGAGCCTTGGGAAGCCCCTGAGGAGGTTATGCAGGTGAGTAATCTGTTTCATGTTTTTTAACTAAAGCGATCTACAGAGCAGGGGATAGAGGGGAGTAAGAGAAGCTGTAGGAAGGCTGGTTAGACCTTGGTGGTTGTCTAGGTGGAGGACATTAGTAACCATTTGAACTGGGGTTGGGGCCTCTGTAGGGGAGACAAGTGAGTCTGTCTGAAATAGTTGAGAAGCAGATAACACTTGGTTAGTCGCTGTAGAAGGAGCAGGTCAGATTAAGGGTGGCTCTGGGACTAGGAGACGAATGTGGGAGAGGTAGTGATGCTGCAGGGGGTCTAAGTGTGAGGGGTCACCGTCTGCTCAGTTGAAACTGTCCTGTGTGGCGCTGAACATGCTGCCAGGAGCTCAGGGTCCCGTGTGGAGAGGTGTGAGAACATGGGGATGGTGTTGGAAGCCATGGAACCAAATCAGATCCCTGAGGGAGAGGAGGAACAAGGAGCCTGGGCAGCTGCATGTAGAGGTCTGGTAGGAGCAGCATCCAGGGAAGTAGGAGGACTTTTAGGAGCAAGTGTGACCTGGAAGCCTAAGAAAAAAATGCCTTGGGGATGAGTAGTCACTTGTCTGGAGCCAGCAAGGAGGCCAAGTAAATGTGCGGCCAGAAAAATGACTGTTAGATTTAGGCAGATGTGCTCTATTGACCTCGGAAGGACAGCTTCAGAGGGACCCAAGGAGAGGGTGCTGATATCCAAAGCCAGGTTGGGAGGAAGGGGAGATGGTAGAAATGGCTTCTGGGAAATCTGGCTCCACAACTGTAGCAGAATGTGAGGACAAGGCAGTTTCGTGATGTTGTGTTTCAAAGGTGGAAGATGCTGGTGTGTGTGTGTGTGTGTGTGTGTGTGTGTGTGTGTGTGTGTGTGTGTGTGTGTGTGTTTGCAAATATGGGCATACATCTGCATGCTCTAATGAGTCAGTAGAAAAGGAAGTTGAAGACATTGAAAGGGATAACCAGGGAGGGGACCCATAGGAAGACAGGCAGGGCTGGTGTGGAGCCCTGGAGGAAGGAGGGCGGGGTGAGGCTGGGGTAGGGAGAGCTGAAAGGACTGCTCATGCCTCCATCTCCTCAGGAGGAGTGTGTGCAATGAAAAGTTTTCTATTGTGGTTTAAATGTGAAATGTCCTCCAAAGGCTCATATTTTGGACACTTGGTGTCTAGCTGGTAGCACTATTTTTGGAGGTTGTGGGAACTTGGGGCGGTGAGACCTAGCTGAAGTAGGTGGGTCGCTGGGGGTCTTGTCCTGGCCCCTTCCTGTCTGCTCCACCATACCTTCCCTGTCACAATGGATTGATACCTCTGAACCTGTGAGCCAAAATAAATCATTCCACCCTGTAAGTCAGGTAGTTTGTTATGGTGATACAAAAGTAACTAACAGAAAATTGGCACCAGAGATGTAGGGTCATTGCTGTGACTGACAAACAGTGGTTTGTGGGAAGAATTTGGGAGAGTTCAGACAGGCAGACTAGAGAAGGCCTAAGATGCCATAGGAATTGCTTAACAGGTTATTCTGGTGATCAGAACACCAACAGGAAGGTGGCCAGAGAAGGCCAGGCTCCTGAGGTTTCAGATGGGCACAAGGAATCTATCAGGAATTGGATTGGAGGCCATGTGTGTTACACACGTAAAGAACTTGTCTATGTTCTGTCCGTGCACTAAGATTTTATGGGAGGCTGAATGTAGAGTAATGGGCTACTTCAATCTTGTTTCAAGACAGCTCAGTACTCAGGTTGTAGCATGGATGTGGCTGGCTGTTTTTAAACTGGGTTTTCATTGAGAGTCGGGAGAAAAAAGCAGAGCAGAAAGGTTTATAAAATGTGCAGTTTGACCAAAAAAGGAATTATGCTTAAAGCTGTGGACAAGGAGAGCATGACTGGTAAAGAGATTAGAGCCACTAGAAAGAAATCCACCAGGATGATAGGAAAGGTGCCCTGAAGACATCTCAGGGGTTGGCCAGACCTCACCTACTGTAGGATCAGGGTGTAAGATTGTAAACTCATTTGAAAGATGTTCCTTTAAGAAGAGAGAGCCACGGGGGTGTCCTACTCACACAGGGTTACCTAAGGGAAGTGTTTTCCAGGGTTTGGCTGTACAGATATTCAGAGGCTTCTGTAGACATGGTTCAAAGGGGCCCACATACTGCCAGTCTGTCAGCAAAACTTGGCATCATCCATGTGATGCTGGTTTTACAGGCATGCAGAAATAAATGCAAGAGTTAAGGAGTCATGGAGGTTTCCACTGAGATTTCAAAGGAAGTCCTTGGAGGCCCAGAAATGTGTGGCAGAGTCAGGATCCTTATAGGCAGTCTCTGAAAGGGTGATGCATGAAGCCATGAGAGTGAAGCCGAAGATGCAGTGGAGAACCCAGGATTTTGGAGATGTCAGGAATGTGGAATGTCTGCCAAACAAAACTGTAATCCTTGAGTACAGCCACCCCAAGAGAGAGGCCATGTGGGCTGCAACCGGCAAGGCCATAGGAATGGGGCTGCCCAAGCCTGTTGGAACTCATGTCATGATACCACATGTTCCAGATGTTCCATGTGGAGATACAGGATTCCACGTTTATTCTGGTAGGTTTTGGTTTTGCTCTGCTCCAATCCTTGTTATTCTCTGTTCCTCCCTTTTAGAGTGGAAGCATTTACTCTGTGCCATTGTATTTTTTTTTTTTGCAATGCTGGAGTTTGAACTTAGGGTCTTCTCCTTGAGCCACTCCAGCAGCCCTTTTTCGTGTTGAGATTTTTCAAGATAGGGTCTTGCAAACTGTTTGCCCAGGCTGGCTTTGAATCTCGATCCTCCTGATCTCTGCCTCCTGAGTAACTAGGATTATAGGTGTGAGCCACCGGTGCCCGGCTGCGCCATTGTATCTTAGAAGTATGTGACTTACTTTTTGATTTTAAAGGAGCTCACAGTCTCAGAAGAGTCTTTGAATTTGAACTTTCAAATAATGTTGGAACTGTTAAGACTTTGGGGACTCTTAGAGCTGAACTAAACACATTTTACATTGTGAGATGCCATGAGCCTTTGGGGACCAGGGGTGGAATGTCGTGGTTTGAATATGTAATGTACCCCAGAGGCTCATGTGCTGGGGGCTTGGTCCTGAGCTGGTGGCACTATTTTGTGAAGTTCTGGAAACTTTGGGAGGTGAGACTTAGCTGGAGGAAGTACATCACTGAGGGCAGGTGGTTGGGGTTTTGCCCTGCTTCCTTCTTGTGTCCCTTTTCTCTGCTTTCTGCCCACCGTGATGTGTACTGCTGAGCTCCACCACAATGGGCTGGCACCTCTGAAACCATGAGCCAAAGTAATTTCTCCCTTCACATTGTTCCGTCAGGTATTGGGTCACAGAGATGCAAAAGTCACTAATACAGCTTCCAAGGTAGGGTGTGGCCTGGTAGGCAAGGGCAGGAAGAAGTGCTCCTTCAGAATGGGCAGGCTGGGGAGCAGGGAAATGAATGGAGGCAGGAGTGCTTATTTGACAGCTGTGCTCTTGAGTCAAGAGAATCCATCAGTCACTTGGGTCCATGATTTTCTGCAGCAGCACAGGCTAGGAGGAAATGGCCAGTGCGTACACGATGACTGGGTGGTATGTTTCCCAGGGACAGCTTGACTCATGGTCTCTGGCTGGGTGTGCAGGCTATGAGGACAGAAGTGCCTGTGGCTACTGGGCCATGGTGGGCAGGGGTCTTGGTGAGCTGGAAGCATCACTGCTGGCAGTAATGAGCTGGAAGGATTGGAGGTGACAGTGGATGAAATGCTACAAGTCAGAGTTCTGAAGAGCTCATACCTTATGCAAGGGTAAGAAGAGGAATGGAGCAAGACCAAGCAGCCACTGGCACATAGGTAGTTTTTATTTATTTTTTGGCAGTACTTAGGTTTGAACTCAGGGCCTCATGTTTGCTAGGCAAGTTCTATGTCACTTGAACCTTGCACCCAGTTATTTTTGCTTTAGTTTGTTTTCAAGATAGGGTCTTCTGCTTTCACCTGACCTGACCCTTCTGCCTTCTACCTCTGCCTCCTGAGTAGCTGGGATTACAGTGTGTACCACCACACTCAACTTGTTTCTTTTGAGACAGGGTCTCCCTAACTTTTTTTTTGGTCAATACTGGGGTTTGAACTCAGGATCTTACACTTGTTAGGCAGGTGCTCTACCACTTGAGCCACTCTGTCAGCCCTTTTCTGTATTGGGTATTTTTGAGATAGGGTCTTGCTTTTTTTCCCTGGCCTGTCCTTGAACTGTGATCCTCCTGATCTCTGTCTCCCAAGTAGCTAGAAGTCACTGGCACCTAGCTGGTCTCAATAACTTTTTTGCCAGGGTATAATCCTCTTATCTCTGCCACACAAGTAGTTAGACAGGCACCATGGAGCCATGGTTTGAGTATGAAATGCCCCCCACAGGTTCATGTCTTAAATGCTTTGTTCCCAGCAGGTGGTGCTATTTTGGGAGGTTGTGGAAATGTTAGGAGGAGGTACCTGTTGGAGGAAGTAGGTCACTGGGAGCAGGTCCTTAGGGTATCTTCTCTCTGGCCCTTTCCTGTCTCACTCTGCTTCCTGTCCACCATGAGGTGAGCAATGTCATCTGTCACACGCTCCCACCACCCACACATTCTTCCTCAAACACAGGCCCAGAATCCATGGATCACAGGACCATGAACTAAAACTGTGAGCCAAAATAACTCTTTCTTCCTTTTAAGTTGTTCTGTCACAGCGCTGAGAAAAGTGACAAATGCAGTAGCTGAAGAGACATGGGGGAGGGGTTATGATGAGAAGGACCCAGACCCCTCACTGGGCCTGTGTGACAGGAGACAAGGTAGCGAGGGAACAGTTTCAGAAAATGACAGAAGCAGCCAGTCTATGCCCAGAAGGCCAACACATGGCCAAAAGGAGGCACAGGAGCTTCCAAGGAGGTAAGAATCATGTCGGGCAGCAGGGGGCAGAAGGGACTCCCCCATATATTCCGGCCCTGAGGTGGGGGCACTGTGAGAGGAGCCGTCCTGCATGGTGGCAGGGGAGACAGCTGGTGAAGGAAGAGCCTGGGACATGGAGGAGGATATTGTCAGTTTCAGGCAGCCCTGGGTAAGCATCTGGGAAACAGGGTCGGGTAGATTTGGTCAGATGAGGGGTGGGCACTGCCTGCATGAGTCCAGTCCACGTGGTGACAAGGGCTGTTGGCAGTGGAAGGAAACAGGGTGATGTGTGATGGGCTGGATTTCTGGTGACCTCTTGAAAGTGGGACTTGAGTCAGCTGTGACGCTGTGTGTGATGAGGCTGCTCCTGGCCCAATGAGTGGCAGGGAGGGCTGTCCTACCAGGCTCTGTCAGCCTCCAGGCAGTTTTTCTGTTTTCTTATGGACCTTAGAATTATCCACTAACATATAAGATGGTCCTGTCTACGAGTTTGTGAGCAGGCTTACATTGAAGGCAGCTTCTCTCCCTCTTAGCGTATGGTATTTGTACGTACTGATATTGCAGGCTTTTGACTTACATTACATTAGGGTCCACAGCACAATGAATATGTTCTCCAGTGTGACAGAATCCTTTAGTCACATGCCTTTGGTTTTGCTACCTGAAGAAGCAATCATAAGCCATCTTTCTTCAGCTAAGTTGGTGTTATTCAATTTTAGCGTAGCCATCTCCCAAAGCATGCCCTCAAAATTATTTTTGAACTATGCTAAGGAATTTTCTTAGCCTTGGGTATCATCCCCTCTGGCTATTTCTGACTACAAATGACTACTTTATCAAATCGCTATCTTGCTATAATTCTGAAGTTGGTCATGTGTTCACTTGGTGCCTGCCAAGTTGTTGAATGAATGAGTGAGTGAGTGAGTGAGTGAGTTTAAAAACCTGGGAGCAACAAGCAGTGAAGGGCATATTTGTATAATAGAACATGTTATGTAACCATACAGGGTAAACACTCCTGTCTTTCTAGGTGGGCAGCATGTATCAGTTGTTCTAGGCCATCCTAGAGCATTTAATCACGTTAAATTGTTGCTAGAATAAAATTTAAGTAGACCTCACATTTTCAAAACATTATTATCCTTCCAAGTTAGATCTAGTGAGTGACTAGGATATGACACATTTTTTTTCTTTGATAGGACTGGGGTTTGAACTCAGGGCTTTACACTTGCAAAGTAGGTGCTCTACTGCTTGAGCCACACCTCCAGTCCAGGATATGACAATTTTTATGGAAATGTTTTTTAATTTTTGAAACTTGGCTGGCATTTCCCCCCCCCAGATATGCAGCAGCTGTGCACACGCTGAGTGACATTTCTACTGCGATGGCCAACGGGAACTGGGAGGAAGCTAAGGAACTCTCTCAATGTGCAAGAAGGGACTGGAACAAACTGAAAAGCCACCCTTCCTGAGGTGAGGGCTTTCTTGTTTTCTTTTGCAGTACTCGGGATTCAACCCAGGACTTTGCACATGTTAAGCAAGCACTCTATCACTGAGCCCCACCCCTAGTGAGACTTGTTTTTGGGTACCTGGCAAAATTTAATAATCGACCAAGTTGTTTTACCCACTGAAGGTGATTTCATTCATGAATAACATATTCCTTATGCTGGTCAAACCAGAGGTGAAAGTGGACTTTCCTACTTGCTTTGCATAGAGTCAGAGTGCTGTGTGAAACAAAAGGAAATATTTGAGAATTTAAACTGAATTTTATGTAACTCAGAACTCTGTATAGTAGACATTCAAGTGACACATACTCAACTTAAGCCTACTGTCTTTCAATGTCTCTTTTGCCTTTGTAGTGCAAAAGAGAGAGCCCGGCTGTGTTCTGATAAACCCTGTTTATGGATTCTGAAATTGGAGTTTCATGTAATTTTCACATGCCACAGCATATTTTTCTCCTTTTGATTTATTTAATTATTTAAAATTTTAAAAGCCCAGGGTGAGGGAGGGTTGAGGAAGGTTGACTGGGGTACTAAGATGTGGTTAGGTGGGAGTGAGAAGTCATAGCGCACTACTGCACAGTAGTGTGAGATAGATATTGATTCTGGGCTGTTGATCTCAAAAAGTTAGAGGAAAGGATTTGAATATTTTTGCCATAAAGAAGTGATAAATGTTTGAAGTGATAGACATGTTTAATCTGACCGCACAATATATGCACATATTGAAACATCGTGTGTACCCCATTAATATGTATAATTTTTGTATATCAGTTAAAAATAATAGTAGATACAGGAAAGTAAATAATAAGATACACTCCTAAATAATTTTCTTTTTTAACATAAAAGCCATTCTTCATTTTCAGGACTCAGAAAACTAGAGGGTAGCCTTGGGTTTAGAATATCTCCAGTTCTCATCTTACTACACCCTCTGCAGCGACCTAGGGCAGGGTGACTGGCTGTGACAGTGTAGGTTTGTGGTACAGAAAACTGCACACAACTCAAAGCATTGGGAGTACATCTTTTTAAAAGATTCAGTCACGGGCTCGGGGCTTGGTTCATGGAGTGCCTGCCTAGCCAGCATGAGGTCGTAAGTTCAAAACTCAATAGTACCAAGACATAAAAATAAAATGAAAAGATCCAACCTGTTTGTTACAATTGTCTTATAACAAATAATCCGAGTTGTTGAATGATAGGTGTATGTTTTCATTTTAGACACCATGAGGGTCTCCCACTCTTTTTGCGGCGTTTTACCGTCGGGTGGATTTACACCAGGATTTTGTCTCGGTCTGTTGAGATACTGGAGAGACTTCACAAGTATGAGGTGAGCACACTGTGGGGGTACAGCTGTGATGAGCACGGGGAGGAAAACCTGCGGGGCTCTCAGCATTTCCCACAGAGCCCTTCAGCACACAGTGATGCGTGAAAGTGCAGCTAACGTAGGCCGTGTGCAGTCTCTGGGGTTAGTAGAGAGAAGACAGCAAAAGGGCAACGGCTGTTTTATTTGCTCATGAGTTGAGGAGTCTGTGCAGTGGGATGGCTCGTGGGTGGTAGACAGAGCCCAGCAGGAAGCCAAGACAGGTCTCTGCACCCGGAGCCCGAGTCTCTTAGCGAATTCATTGTAAGATTTGGGAGATTCTCAGATGTCTGAGGTGGACATCTCACATGTCTTTATGCTCTCCTGTCAGCTGTCATGAATCATCTGGAGATTCAGTAACAAGTTCTTATACTAAATAAATTAGGCTCAGTCTCTTAAGAAATTTGGTCATGTCCTTACACTAAACACTGAAGTTGCCAGAGCTCCCTTTTGTTTGTTTGATATTTCTGTAGTGTCAAATGGTGTTTTAAAAAGAGGATATGCTAGTTGGGTTTTTATCCTGGGGTCACTAAATCTCAAGAACTATGGATATAGTGGTGTATGCCTGTAATCCCAGCCCTCTGGAGGCTGAGGCAGAAGGGGTGTGAGCTGGAGGCCAGCGTGGGGCTCCATAGCAAGACCCTGTCTCAAGAAAGAAAAAAAAAGATGCATGGATGGCGTCTGAGGAATTTGTGAACTCAAAATTGCATATGTAAAGAGGTTTATGCATTTTTCTGGGGAAAATCATTGCATGTTTCCAAGAGATCATGAACCACAAAAGATTAGCGTAAAGAATGACCCAGTGGTCTGTACATAAACCTAGGCCAGAGGTTCTCCCTGTTAAGGTCGGGTGTTTGGAGGAGAACCCCTCATTTCTGTCCTGCCTGCCCCAAGTCCCTCTGCAGTGGATCCTTTGACCCTGCTGGGTTCCAGAAGTGTTTGGATTTGCCAACCCCAACCAGTGCTCAGCTGCCTGTCCAGAGCTTGAACCTGTGCAGCTCTGAGCTGGCTGATGTGACTCACAGAAGTAGTCAGGGGATCTGGGGTCAAGTAAGGGTGCTCATGCCACACAGGAGGTCACCTCAAAGTCCTTGTCCTGTCAGTCCTGTCAGTCCTGGTCCTTGGCTTTATAATGGAAAGATAGGCATTATCTATATACTTAACCAGTCCTGTTGACTTCTAAATATAGTATTTGATTTTTCTGAGAGGCTAATGAGCTTTCTTTGTTATTGTTGCAATAGGAGGCCGTCAAAGAACTTGGAAACCTTTTGTCTCAGAAAATTTATTGTTCTGACAGCAGAGGTAGATGGTGGGATCGGCTGGCTCTTAACTTAGGCCAGCACCTGAAGCGCCTGGAACCGGTCAGTAATCAGGAATATACCTGAGGCCCTTTTCACTCTTCGGCACATTCTAAAAATATGGCAAATTTTTAAGTACTGTATTCATTCATTCACTCATTCATGTATTTAGGTTCTGGGATGGAACCCAAGGCTTCGTGCATATTTAAGCAAGCACTCTATCACTAAGCTATACCCCCAGTCCCTTAAATACTTTAAAACTGTCGATGTATTTAGAACATTTATTTCTTTTGTTAACATTCTTTTGAGTTCTTACAATTACAAAAGAAATACCAAGACTGGATGCCAGTGGCTTACACTTGTAATCCTAGCTACTCAAGAGGGAGAGATCAGGAGGATCTCGGTTCGAAGCCAGCCTGGGCAAATAGTTCATAAGACCCTATCTCAAAAAAAAAAAAAACCCATCACAAAAAAAAAAGAAAAAAGAAAAGGCTGGTGGAATTGCTTAAAGTGTAGGCTCTAAGTTCAAACTCCAGTACCGCAAGAAAAAAAAAAAAAAGTCATGGATAATGCTGGTACAAGCAGATAAATAAAGACTGGAGTCTTCTATGTTTTCTTCACTGACTAGGGAGATCGTTGGCAGTGGACCCCGTTGGGATGCAGGAGTTAGGATCTAGGAATTTGGAGAGGGAGGATCACATGTCTCTGCCCTGGGCAGGTGCTGCCTTCAAGGTGGTATATGGCTTTTTTGTTGGTCTTTTTATGTTTTGCTCTTCTGGGGATTGACCCCAGGGTCTTTATGCATACCAGGCAGATGCTGTACCACTAAGTTGCACCCCTAGGTCCCAAGAAGGTGTTCTTCGATTTTGGAAATGGTATTACTTTACTTGCCTCCAGATAGAAACAGTGATGAAAAAACCATTCTTTTCCTCATCTTATTGCTGGTGCTTTGTGAAGTATTTTCCTCTGCCCTTGGGACAGGCTTCCTTCTCTTGCAGGCACCAGTGTTCCCTGTGCTGGGGACCTGGAAGGACTGGGATTCTGTTGCCATGCTGGCCAGGCAGGGTGGGGCCTCCAGGCTGCTGCTGCAGAGCCAGGCATCCACAGTGGCTCTTTGTGTGGCTGTGGTGGGGGGAAGGGCCCCCACCCGGCTCCATTCCAGCCTGGCATTTGAGCTGAATGGAGGGACTGTGCCTCTGGGTGGTTTTGTTTTTTCCAGCAGCACATTAAGTGAAGCAGTGATGTAGGGGTGGAAAAAATTGACCACAGAATGTGAAACTATGACATCGTGTTTTTACCACTTTCCACTGAAAAAGTGCCTTGTTAGCTCAGGTGCCAGTGCAAAGGCTGGGGAAGCTTTTTCTGTGGTGGTGATGGCCGTGGTACCTCCTTCCCTCCTTCGTGTTGGTGTTCCTTGAGGCAGAAATAGGCAGGAAAGGTGTATGCTGGCCTAGAACCAGGCAGGGAAGAAGGGAGAGAGCTGTGTTTATGCTGCTTTTTCTTTCAGTAACGATTCAGAGATGTTTACAGATTTCCCCTTGTTCACAGCATTTGTTCCTACTCAGGGGAAGGCTGAATGCTGGGCTTATTTTTGATTGATACTAAGAAATTTCTATTGCCTTTTAACTTTTTCCTAACAGTCTCACTTGCCACGCTTAGTTTTCATTATTGTGTTACCATTCCTCATAGGGTTTGTATCTGCCCCCAGGGCCCATGCTGCTAGAGGGCTTATTCTTACAGAGTGTGGGGGGTGGGGGGCTAGCCTGGCCTTCCTCCCTGCACCTGGCCTCTGCCGTGTGACATCCTCTGCTAGGGAATAGAGCATACATTAGTGTTGCATTTACACGTCTTTTTTTTCTTTTTGGTGGTGTTGGGATTTGAACTCAGGACCTCATGCTTGCTAGGCTACTGCTTTATTACTTGAGCAATGCCTTCCCACCTCCCACCTTTTTGCTGAGTCCATGGCCTTGACCGCATGGGAGAGCCACCTGGGAGTGAGCTTTGCCTAGGCCAGATGCCCAGGACTTCCTGTCTGGAGAGTCTCTCCTCATAGGTCAGGGGTTGGGTGATGTCCTAAGACCCACTGATCCAGGTTTCCTGTGACACAGGGTCATTCCTAAGGGTCATGCCCTCCATGGGGCAATGCTGCTGGGATCCAGTGTCCACACGAGTAACAGGCTGGCAGTGCTCCAGAAAATTTACAGAGAGATTTTGTAGGTGATCTGTGTATTAAAGACAACAGAAGAAGACCCAAGGAGATAGCTTATGTCCCTAGAAGTGCTTTTGGCTCATTTGTTAATTAGCAATCTGAATAATTAACACTGAGACTTCCTGTCGAACTAAACTAATAGATGCTCTGCTATGGCTCTTTTAGGATCTTGATATGTGATTGTTCTTTACTAGGCTATTAGGTGCATTAATGAAGGGCTGGCGGATCCGGAAGTGAGGACAGGACATCGTCTTTCACTTTATCAGAGAGCTGTGCGCCTGAGAGAGTCTCCAAGCTGTAAAAAGTACAAGCACCTCTTCCATCAGCTGCCAGAAATTGCTGTGGAAGATGTTAAACACGTAGGTATCCTTTGAACCTACCAAAAAGGTGCAGGGGAGTGAGCCCAGGGTTTTGCACATGTAAGCTATGACTCGTTCTGAGCTGGGAGCTGTGGATTTAAACACATTCACTTGTTTTGTTTTTCTTTTTCTGACTGGAAGCAACCTAAGACATTTCAGCATGTATTTCCTTGGACTTAGAGCAGTTCATGCTCATTTTGGACAGTGACTTGACCATAGCCATGACTCCTGCTTACACTCTAACACTCTCCTCGTTGACAAGACCAGGGCAGCTAGTGTGCTCACACCTCGGGTGGGCGACAGAACTCCTGAGTAGGAACTCAACAGCATCTGCCAGTTTTGCCTGTTATCTGGGGCAGGGGGGAGGGGAAGAGGGCTGGAGAGCTGCTCTGATCATAGATGCTCTGTGAAGGTGGGGACCGTGACCTGTCATGTCTCTTGGGCATGCCAGCACTGACCACACACAGCACCCTCTGCTGAATGTGTGGCTTTGGGGGGATAGGAGGGCTATAGGCAGGTTTCAGGGGCTTTCACTGAAGCTATGCTAACAGATGCTCTTCTGCTACTGCCCCAGGTGACCATCACGGGCAGGCTGTGCCCACAGCATGGGATGGGCAAGTCTGTGTTTGTTGTAGACACTGGAGACACTGCTACCTCCACCACGGTTCTGTGCTCTGTGGAGGAGCTGGCGCTGGACTACTACAGACGGAGTGGCTTTGACCAGGGTAAACCAAGCAATATTTCTGTGCCCCAGTCAGTCAGTGTCTGGGGGAACAGCAACACACGATGTCTGGTCAGTAGTGGGTTGCTGTCTCTGTCCTCTGCCTATAGCAAGGGCATTGCTGGCCAGAGTGTGTAAAGAAGACTCTTACTATGGTTTTTACCTACTGCCCATGAGGACAGTGGTGTGTGCAGGGATGGAAGAAGTAGCAAGGCCATCTTTGCTGTCAGACAGCTGGTGGTGGGCAAACAGCAGTAAGAAAGGTTGAGGAGCCAGTTGCTGGTGGCTCATGCCTATAATCCTAGCTACTCAGGAGGCAGAGATTAGGACGATCACAGTTCGAAACCATCCCAGGAAAATAGTTCAAAAGACCCTATCTTGAAAAACCCCTTCACAAAAAAGGGCTGGTGGAGTGGCTTAGGGTATAAGCCCTGAGTTCAAGCCCCAGTACTGCAAAAAAAAAAAAAAAAAAAAAGAAAGGTGGAGGAGCCAGGTGTGACTGCTAACACACCTGTCAGCAGCCAGGCCCAGGCCTGGAGTCAGGTCCTAGCTGTAAGCCGCTCCTCCTGGCATGAAGTAGCACCAGTGGAACCAAAGGAGCTGCTAGAAAGAACAGCAATCTGAATTGCTTTAGAAATGAGCTCTCTTCTGTCCTGTCCTTGGGAGTTGGGCAGACATCTGTGAGATTTGGAGCTTTTCCTGCCTTCCTTCCTGGCAACTCCCTGATCCCCCTGCCCACTCCTCCTTTGAGGGACCTCAAAGTGCAGTAGTGGCACCTTGATGGAAGTGAAGTCAGTAAAAGGAAGCAGTGCTCGTTCCCATTGGACCCACCTTCTCTTCTGCCTTTCAAGTTCTGCACTTTCTTCCTCCTCAGTTTCTGGTGGGAGAGGAAGGCATGTGGTTATACTCGTGTGTATGTGTGCATTTGTCTGCAGCAGGTATGTACACATGTGTACATGTGAGTGTGACTTTGTGCCTTGAGTTGCTGATGAGATAGTTTTGTTTCTCTTCAGAAGTAAAGCGCGAGTGGAGTCCAGGTTGCCTCCAATCGTGTTTTTTTAAGGGGTTAGTTTCGGCTCCTTGTGTGCTCTTGGTTATGGATTTTGTAGATGTCTTTCAGAGGCCATCTTCTGAAATGTTTGTAGCCTGAGTCAGAAGGAATTCTGGAAGCTTCCAAGGATGGGATCATCAGAGCCAGGAGCCAGTACTGTTGGTGGTTATTGTAAGACAGGAAGGAGGGCTGTTGAAGGGCCCTACTGTCCACTTTTCAGAATGTAAATGCACAGAGTGAGGGAGCCTCTGTGGCATGCTGAAGAACTTAGAATAGAAGAGAAATTTAATAGACACACACTGACCTAGGCAGGGAAGCTGCCCGTCAGCCATGGCAAACCTGGACTTTGAATACTGTCACCTCATTTCCTCGCAGAGACCGCCATTGTGCCCTTGCCTCCCACCTTGAGAGACTAATGGATGCTCCAGTCACCTTTCGTCCCTCCCAACTGTGTGTTGTCCTTAGGGAGTCAGAGTGTTTCAGGACATGACATGTCCTAAGGGGTCTTCTCTTCCTCAGATGGGGACCAGCACCTGGTGAGTGAGCGGATGTACGTGCTGGCTGTTTGAGAAAACGTGAGGAAAACACACATACGTGAGCTTACAGTGTACTTGGCTCTTCCTTGGTGCTCATAACCGGGCTGTTACTGGGCCTGTTGTGCCAGGCAGTCAGTAGCTTGAGGAATGGGCTCTCCTCTCAGAGCCCCTTTCTCCTCTGCACAGGCAGATCAGAGAAGGAGGCCCCTGCACCAGCCACAGCTGCATCTCCCAGGAGTGGGCGTGGTTGAGACCACACATGTCATGGTTGGGCCAGGCATGTGCAGGGGGCCGAATGTTTGTGGAGTCACTCAAAACAAGAGCTGCTCTGGGTGTCTCTCTTGTCACTGTGGTAAACCCTGTTGCATAATAGCAATGAAGTTTTGTTTTTTAAGAAACAATTGACCCATCTCTTATGTCAGTTGGGAATTCCTTGGGTTTTTTGTGTTTACCCACATGGGCCTCTCTTGCTCTCTTTTATTCCTCCTTCAGTTTTGGGCTCAGAGAATGTAACTGTCAACCCAGTGGTTCACCTAAGGCCCAGAAATGAGAAGACAGTGAGTTAGAATTAGCACTAGTGGCATGAAATTGTCATTCCTGGCCTTTAAATGCTGAGTAGAAAAACAAGAAAATCAAGGAAAGAAAGAATTATAGGGGAAGTTTCTTTGCCCAGTACCACAGAGACTCAGGAATGGAGCAGGTCCAGCTGTCCTGGACACCCTAGGGATCATGACTCCAACCTTTCTTTTTTTTTTTATGAAACATTTTGTCATGGGAGATATGGAGCCACAGACTTTGTGCAAAGTAGAGAAGATTGTGTACTGGCCCCACAGCCCACTCAGCTCCATCACACCTTCCCCTCCCCCTCTCCCACCTCCTCCCCTGGACTTCCAAAGCATACCCCTCTCATGATAGATACGTGCTATGTAGTTCTCATTGGTCACTTTCGGGTATACCCATCCAGTGCTTTCGTCCTTGTGTGCAGGCAGGCCTCCCTCTGTGCCTGTGCTGTAGGGTTACTAGGCTTAAAACCACTCTGAGGCTTAGCATGGAGGTACAAGTCTATAATCCCAGTGATACTGGAGTGTTGATCTTGAGTTCATGTCTTGGAAAAGTCCAGTGATTGAAGATGCCGGACCTGGAGTTACGAGTTACAGCAAGAACAAAGTTTATTGAAAGGATAGCAAAGCATCCTGATGGGTGAGACTTAGTGAAAGAGCTAAGCCATAGCTGAAGTCCATGAGGTAATGTAGGGGTTCGGCTTAGGCAACCCCTACCTTACTTTAAACCGTTTCTATAAGTAGCTATCTAATTGACTTATTGCTGGTTGCCCGCTCCCCCATGCTTATCAGACTGGACATTCCAGGAGGGCCTTTTTAGTCCATCCTGTCCTTGAGACCTGCCATATACATTTTGTGACTTCCATGCATTATTTTGATGAGACCCCTCCTCCCCTTTTGTTTTTCTTGGGAAAGTTTGCTGTGTTAATTTCCTTTAGAGGTCTAGGTTTCATCTCTTTAGATGTTTGTCTTTAAGAATAGTTCTTTGTACCCCTTATCTAGGAGAAAGACCACTGTACTTCATTATCTCAGTGAGAAGCCTGCTCCTCAGTCTCCTTAGATGTTTGCTTTTAAGGATGCCTTCCCATCTCCTTTGTCTATGACAAAGTTTCTTCTGCCCTTTACATTCCCAGGGCTGTTTCTGCTGTTTATTCCCCTTCACGTTTGCTCCCTTCACACCAGCACTCAGGATGCTGAGGTAGGAGGATCAAGAGTTCAAGGTCAACCTGGGCTACATATTGAGACCCTGTCTCAAAACAAGAAAGCTATAGCAAAAACCAAGGCCTGGGGATGTAGTTCAGTGGTTGAGCATTTGCTAAGCATGCACAAGGTCCTGGGTTTAATCCCCAAAACTGCAAAACAAACAGGCTAGCAAAGAAACACCTGGTATCTTCAGATAGGTGAAAATTAGGCTATTATTTCATTTCAGAGTTATGTGAGTGTTCTGATTAACTCTAGAGGGACAGCTGTAAGATAGGATTTTACAAAATGCAGGTTTCTTTCTGCTGAGAGGTAAGATTAATCTACATAATATCTTTATTACTTACAGAGAGGTGATGCTTTGGGGGAAGAAGTGCAAACAGCAGTGAAGACAGAGAGATACAGTAAGCCTGAAAAGGTTAGCAGTAAATGGAAGGAATATCCATACCCCATTGCTAGAGGAAGGGCAGGCTGTGAACTGACATGCCCAAATGCTTCCTCCTTACCTGTGAGCCTGAAAAACAGTTGGGCAGTTACTTTCTCAGAGTATTAAACATTTTTGGATAAAATATTTGTTATTTATTAAAATTGATATTATGAAAATAAGCCAGACACTTGCCAGGCTTTATTCTCGAAGGGGTTTTTCATAAGGGCAATTTGAAATCCCTTCAGGGAAGGTTACTTCTCTTCTTTCTTTCTTCTTCTTCTTCTGTGTGTGTGTGTGTGTGTTACTGGGGATTAAACTCAGGGCCCTCATGCTTGCCAGGTAGGCACTCTACCACTGAGCTATATCCCCAGCCCTTTTGTTTTTTGAGGCAGGGTCTTGCCACTACCTTTGCCCAGCTGACGTCAAACTCACAATCCTCCTGCCTCTATCTCCTGAGTAGCTAGGATTCCAGGCATGTGCTTCTTTCTGAATTACTTAGATCACACCAAAAATTACCTCAGTTGGAATACACCGCATAGTTCAGGGATGACTCTGGCCTCCATGTTCCTGACCGGGCAGTGCACATACAGGGACAGGAGGTTGTTTAAGAGTCAGGACTCAGTTTTTTTTCTGGCGGGCAGAAGCCAGTGTCCTGGCGTGAAAGTGTTCTGGTAAAGTTAGAGGACTTTGCTTCAGCAGGGGGCCTGAGCAAGTTCTAGCTCATACTTTGTCCTTTTGTATTACAGAGGTAGGATTTGGGGACCAGGGGTTAGAACTGACAGGGACAGGACAGAGAGGGTCCAGTGCAGCCCAGAAATGCAGGATAGAGGAGCACAGCCATATCCTGCTGCTGGCAGGACTCGGATCCCTGTGTGGAGTGCACTTTTGTTGGGGCATAGTGAGCAGGAAGTCAAGTACCAGGCTCCTGAGCACACCAGCTCCATTGTCTGGTCTCTGCTGTCTCCCCACATTGTGCTCGCTATGGCCTCACACATGGGTAGTAGGCCTGGGCCCATAGGTGTGAGGGTCTGGCCGGCCAGAAGAACATTTCTGCTACTGTGGGTATGTCAGGAGAGGGAGGGTCTGGTGGTTGGCGGTTCCTTGGACCAATGTAATACAACTCAGAGAGCCATCTACATGGCTACCTTCCCTGGACTGATAACACAGAGAAGCCCAGTTTTGTAGGGAGGAGCTGACTGAGTCAGCGAGGGAGACCATCGAAGGCCACAACCTTCAGCCTTTTGTAGGCTCTGTCTCTGGATTTTCATGATCCCACTTTCACTCCCTGAGGTTGTTTCCATCAGTAATGTGTGTGTGATGTGAGGAAGGGTGTCTGAACAAGTTGGTCTTCATGGCTGAAGGTTTTTATAAAAGCCTCCAATGCTGAAAACACTGGGATAGCCTGGTTCAAGTCAAAGCAGAGTAAGATGTGGGTGAATGAGGTGAATCCAGATAGGGCCTGGTGCCTCTGAGGGTGGTGCACAGCTTCCTGTCAGGGAAGCGTTTCTTCAGGAGTGGCCAAGGAAACCCTGTAGTAGAGGCTGCTCATGAATTGCAAGACTTCTGTATGTAAACTAGATAGTGTCAGAAGAGAGCTAGGAATGGCAAAGAAACAGCATTTGCTTTACGATTGACAGTATTTCTGTTACTTCCTTGAAATTGGTTGTGTGGTAGATCATGGTGATTTTGAAAGAATAGATAAAACTGGATTGTCCTTTGTGTGTGTGACATTGTCATAGGGATTCATGGGGAAGGATCCACCTTCAGCACCCTGTGTGGCCTCCTCCTGTGGGATATAATCTTCATGGATGGGATACCAGACGTCTTCAGAAATGCCTACCAGGTAACCTGCTAATGCTGCACAATGAGAGGCTTCTGCACACGCCTGTGAGTCACACTGACCTGGGCACCATGTGTCACTTGGCAGAAACCTGATTCCTTGGTACAGGCTTTTGAATCACCTACACACTGTAGTGCTAATTCCATTGTAAGAATACCTTTGGTTTTCAAGATCAGACTTGTAGAATTTAAAAAGTAAGTCAGTAAAATTTTAAACTTTAAGTCTAGTTTACCATCAACATTGCATTTGAGCTCTTAGAATCAAGTCCCTTTCACTTCAGCCTTTTCCAAATGCCCACCATGGCCCCAGCCCCTTGTCAGGACGCTCACTTAACACTGCCATAGTGCCAGCTATGAGCTGGACCGATTTAACCTTGTTAAAAAACAAGAGGGCTCTTGTTTTGCAAAATTGTGACTCTACCCAGTGTGCTAAATTGCTTTTACGTCACATCACATGTATCTGACAGTTTTTACATGTCTCTCCAGAGGAAGAATGTCGTCGACCTGTTGACTTCCATATTTATAGGTATTGAGTATTCCTCTAGTCCACGTGCTGTCTCCAGAACATATTAAGATAGCTTGCTTTCCCTGTGACACAGGCATCCCCCCTGGACTTATGCACGGACAGCTTCTTCACAAGCCGGGGGCCGGCCCTGGAGGCCAGGCTGCAGCTAATCCACAGTGCCCCAGGGGAGAGCCTGCGCGCCTGGGTGGCAGCTACGTGGGAGGCCCAGGAAGGCAGAGCGGCTTCCCTTGTCAGCTGGGATTGCTTCACTTCTCTTCAGCAAGCTCAGGTAGTGGTTCACCTGCTTGGCAAGGTCTGGCCAGAAAGTAATGCCTCCCTGGTGCTAGGTGTCTTCTTTGGCAACTGTATTAAAATACACATAAGGGTGTGTGTGTGTGTGTGTTAATAATGTGTGTGTGTGAATAATGTGTGTGTGTGTTAATGTGTGTGTGTGTTAATGTGTGTGTGTGTTAATGTGTGTGTGTGTGGTTGTGTGTGTGTGTGTGTTGTGTGTGTGTGTGTGGTGTGTGTGTTAATTGTGTGTGTGTGTGGTGTGTGTGTTAATTGTGTGTGTGTGTGTTAATGTGTGTGTGTGTATGTGTGTGTGTTAATAATGTGTGTGTGTGTTAATATGTGTGTTAATAATGTGTGTGTGTGCGTGTGTGTTAATAATGTGTGTGTGTGTGAATAATGTGTGTGTGTGTTAATAGCCCATCCCCCAGCCCAGATGCCACTGTTACGATGGGAACACTTTAGAGCATGAGAAAAGCCCCAGGTAAGCCTTTTCCACTCCAGAGTCAAGAACTCCTTTTGCTTGACCTGTGGCTGCAGCAGGAAGGACACCTTCCTTATCCCTTTCTGATGGCCTTTTCGAGACATCACCCATTCCTGAGTGTAAATCCAGATCCCCCTTCATCAGTTGTTCCCCGGGATGCCCATGCTGGGCAGAGGCCTGGTGACTGATGAAGGACACCTGCTTTCCCAGAGCTTGCCTGTGGAAAGCTGGAACCCTGTGGAGGTCAGAGCAGCCTCCCCCATATCTGAAGTCCATTTCTGCTGAACTGCACACTGGATTTTCTGTCTCACGATTGCTGGTGTCAGCGTCTGTGTTGTAGGAAGGTGGCTAACTTCTCACGTTTTGTGTTTAGGATCTTGTCTCCTGCCTTGGTGGCCCCATTCTCAGTGGTGTGTGCAGGCGCCTGGCCACTGACTTTCGGCACTGCCGAGGGGGCCTCCCTGACCTGGTAGTGTGGAACTCTCAGAGTCATCGAGTTAAGGTTAGTTCACCTACGGCAGAGATATCTTATTTGTCATTTTACTAGTAACTGAGTCAGAGGCCACAATAAGCATTTCCTTCATGACTATTGGCAAGATGGAATTCCTTGAGAGCCAGTGGGCTGAGGGCCAGGACTCCTGGGGGCCTCTCCTGGGCCACTCACCACCAGGAAGTTCCTTTCCTCAGAACAGGGGAGCAGGAGGAGCCAGGGTGTGAGCAAGGCAGGAGGCATAGTCTTATGTGACCTCATGTGGAGGTGAGTCCTTCACACTGGCTGCATTCTGTTGTCAGAGCAGGTCATCAGGTCCAGCCCGCAGAGGGAGGGCATCACACAGGGTGTGGACCTCTGGAACTTTTAGGTGCTTGCAAGAGTGAGCACCTCTTCAGATGTGCATGGGAGGCTCACTTGCCTCACTGTGGGCTTGGTCCTGCCATTCGTCACTGGTTGGTTATTTTCTTATTATTGTGTGTATGTATGTCTGTGTCTGGCTTCTCTTCTGTTCCTTGGTGTGTGTGTGTCCCCTCTCTTCTGCTGCATTGATCTGTTTGATTATTGCATTTCATACAAGTCTTACAGTCAAGTAGTAGCAATCTTCCAATGTGACTCTTCTTTTTCAAAATTATTTTGCATTTTTATTTGAATTTACAAAATTGACTTCTAAAAAAAAATCCTGCTTGGATTGTAATTGGGATTGCTTTGAATCTGTAGACCAATGTGAAAAGAGCTGATATCTTAACATATTAAGTCTTGATCGACAGACATGATACAAATCTACATTCACTTAGATTACTTTCTCCTAGCATATGTTTTTACTTTTCGGTGTATACGTCATAGGCATCTTTTGTCAGAATGATCTTTGAGGATTTCATATTTCCAGTGTTATTAAGTGATGTTTGTCTTTACAACTTTAATTTCTCATTGTTTGCTGCTATTCTGTAGAAACACAGTTGATTCTTGCATGTTGATATTGTAGTCTGCAAACTTGGTACCCTCACTTATTACTACTAGGAGGGTTTTGAATATTTCATTGGATTCTCTATGTTGACACTCAGATTATCTGCTAAGAGAGTCTTATCTCTTCCTTTCCAGTCTTGATGTCTTTCTTTTTTCTTGCCTGATTGCACTGGCTAGCAAAATGTAGGCTCTAAGTGATAAGACTGGATAGCTCTGCTTTCTTTCTGATCCTAGGGAGAAGCTCTTAGGATTTCATTTTTCAGTAGTACGTTAGGTGCAGGTGATTAGTACTACCTTTGGTTAGATTAAGAATTTCCCCTTTATATCCAAGTTTTCTGAGAGGTTTTTTTTTCTTTTTTTTGTGGAGCTGGGGTTTGTACTCAGGATCCCGTGCCCTTGCTAGGCAGGTACTCCACTACTTGAGCCATGCCCCATCTCTTCTTCAGGATAGAGTCTTGTGTTTTTGCCCAGGGCTGGCCTCAGACTGCATTCCTCCTGCCTATGCCTCCTGTGCAGCTGGGACCACAGGAATGAACCAACATGCCTGGCTCACTGTTTGAGATGGGGTCTCACTAATTCTTTGTCCAGGCAGGCCTGAACCTTGATCCTCCAATTTCTGTCTCTCAAGTAGCTGGGACTACAGGTATGAGCCACCACACCTAGCTTTGAGAGGTTTCTGTTTTTTTCTCTAAATCAGGAATTGATGTTGGAGTTTTTCAACTGCTTTTAAAAAATCTATTGATGTTACGTGATTTTTCTCTTTTAGTATGATAATTTATATTCATCTGTTTTCAAATCTTAAATTTTTTCATTCTTGCCCTAAAGAAATAATAAGGGCACAGTGTTCACTTACACAGTTACACATAGTAGTTAATTAGCACTCCTGTGACTCAACTGTGTCAGCAATCATAGAAAGTGTTCACAGGCTTGGGCTATGGGTTGACACTTCTGTCATGACTACAGGCAGGCATTTCAAAGCTGGGCTCCCATCAGAACCACCCAAAGAAGTTTAAACCAAAGAAAACTACAAATTCCTGAGCCCACATCCCCGGTGTTTGGATTTGGAGCCTTGGGAGAGGTCCTCCAACTCTGTTTTCCAAAGGTGTCCTGGATGGTGTGGGTGTGCAGCCTGGTTCCCAGCCACTGGTGCAGACTGCAGTCATGTCTTGGTTGGCTCTGGGAGGCCCGCAGGTGGTGAAGCAACCAAGGTAAAGCACGTGGGCTTCTTGGGTCCAGAAGTTAGCAGTTTGGTGGTGAGTGTGGAGATTTACAATAATAAGCATTGCTCTGGATGCAGTTGGAGGACATCATGTTAAGTGAAGCCAGGCTCACAAACACAAAGGCCACATTTTCTCTCATACCTGGAACATAGATCTAAAAGATAAACATATAAACACAAAAACAAGCATGATCATATACAAACTCAATGTAGAACATGTGTGTAACAGTGGGACTTCTCTATGGGACTCAGGGAAAGAGGGAAAGGAAAAGAGAATGACAGAGCATCAGTAATATTGTAAAACATGGCATCTGTGAAGGTAGAGGATATAGGGATATGTATTGAAAGCTGTTGAAAACTGGGGTGTAGGAGATAAAGGGTAAGGGAGAGCAATGGAAGGGGTTGAGCGGATCAGAGTAAAGTATACCCACAGTGGGCATACATTGAAACACCCCTTCAAACATCAGCTTAAATATTAAGAAGGAAAGACAGGACTGTAAAATAGGTACTGTGGCGGGGGGTGGGGTTACTAGTGGGAGGGGGGAGATGAAGGAGATTAAGGTGAGGGTATATGGTTGATGGACTTCATACACTTATATATATGAAATAGAACAAGTGCTTTAAGTGGGGTGTGGAGGGGATCAAGGGGAAGAAACAGTGGGGGTGATCTGACCAATGTACAATATAACCCTACTTGGAATTATCACAATGAATTCCCCCATACAATGAATATATCCTAATAAAAAATTTTATTAAAAAAAATTCAACTTACTAGCACCTTTAGAAGACAACAGGTAGAAATGTTTGCCAGCCCTGCAGACTCAGCACACAGTCTCCATCAGCATGAACTAACCCCCCACCCTGGCTCTTGATCTGGTACCAGGGACAGAATCCAGCACTGTGATCTTGAAAGCATAGCCATCCAGCTTTTCAACCTTTTCTTGGCTCACACTTACACAAGTTTCTTGTGGGAGGTGAGCTTTCTCCAGTCAGTGAGCATGACTTTGGAAAACAGGTTTCCAGGATTTCTTTTAAGACCATTTGGGCAATTTCTCCAATGGCACCCAGAATAAAGATGGATTTGCCCTGCACCTGAAGTCTTTCTGAAGCTTCCCCGGATCTTCTGTTGCACTGCTATCTTGAAGTGCACAGAGGGTGGGGCCTGGGAAAGGCTTGGATTTTGAAGCTTAACCCTTGCAGTTCCCAGATAAACTTCACTTGGTGATGGATTATCCTCTTTATATAATGTCGGATTTGATTTTTATATGTTAAGAACTTTAGTGTACATGTCCATGAAAGATACTGTTCTATATTGTCCCTCTAATATCTTTTTTGGGTTTTGCTTTCTGAGTGATCCTAGTGCTGGACCTCATAGAATTGGATGGGAAATACCGTTTTTGGTTTTCTGGAACAGTCTGTGTAGAATTAGTATGAGTTCTGCAATCTTTGGTTAATTCTCCAACATAAAGAGAATTTTCCTTTTGGGAAAATTTAAAATTATGCATTTCTTTTTAATTCCCATAGGGATCATAGTATCTGTTTCTTTTTGACTGAGTTCTGGGAGTTTGTGTCTTTGAGCAATTTGTCCATTTCATGTAAATTGTTGAGTTTATTTCCATAAAATTGTCCATGTTTCTCCCTTACTGTGATTTCATTCCTTGTAGGATCATTATTTCTGTCATGCTCTTAGTCCTGATATTTGAAATCTGTGTCTTTTCTTTTTTTTTTTTTCTGTGGTCTGTCAGGTGGGAGGTTTATCAAGTTTATTAATTTGCTCAAAGAACTGTGGAGTCATTTATTTTGTCTACTGAACTTCTGTTTTGTGTTTCATTCATTTCTGATCTGCTCTTCGTAATTTCCCTTTCTTCTGCTTCCTTTATATGTAATGTGTCGTTTGTGATTTCCTAAGGTGGAAGCTGAAATCATTACTTGGAGAGTTTTCTTTGCCAAGAGTCATTTAGTGCCATCCATTTACTTTTGTGTGCTGTTCTGCCTGAATCTTACAAATAATATGTTGCTTTTACTTTTACTCAGTTCAAACTACTTTCTTATTTCCTGTTTCATTTCTTCTTTGATCTTTGGCTTATTTACAAGTGAGTCATTTAATTTCCACACACTTTTTTCCAGGGATCTCTGACCATGAACTTATAATTTAATTCCATTAAAGTCAGAGGACATGTTTTATATGACTTGAAACCTATATTGAGACGTGTTTGTACCCAGACTACCGTTTGCCTTGGTGAATATTCTGTTTGCACTTGAAAAGAATGTATGTTTGGCTTTTGTTGGGGCGGTATTTTAAAATGTCAGTTAGGTCAAGTTGACGTATAGTATTGCTCAAATCCTTACTGTTCCTTATTTACGTGTTACGTGAAATACTGAGAGGATAATGACATCTGAGTGTAACACTGGATTTGCATATTTCTTCTTACATCTCTATCCATCCTTAATAGCCTCATGTATTTTGAAGCTCTGTTATTAGATGCATAAATTGACCCCTTTGTCATGGTCAGATGTCCCTCCTTTATTCCTGGTAATGTTTTTTGCTTAAAATCATGTGGATAATAACATATAGCTACTCCAGCTTTCTTTTGATTAGCGTTAACACATCTTTTCCTATTCTTCTTCTTTATCTTTTATTTTTCGGCAGTACTAGGGTTTCTGCCCAGGGCCTTGCACTTGCTCGGCAGGCATTCTACATGAGTCATGACTCCAGCCCGTTCTGCTTTTAGGTTATTTTTCAGACAGGGTCTCATTTTTTGCCCAGGATTGGCTTCAGATAATGATCCTCCTACCTATGGCCTCCCATGTAGCTAGGATGACAGGTGTGTGCTGCCACACCTAGCTTATTGGTTGATGTGGGATCATGCTAATTTTATTGCCTGGGCTGGTCTCAAACCATGATCCTCCCAATCTCCACCTCCTGAGAAGCTGGGATTACAAGTATGAGCACTGTGTCAAACCACTGTGCCCAGTCCCATTCTTTTACTATTTTGTCTTTGAGTTTCTTACAGGCATCACTTAGTTGAGTCTTCTTTCATTTTTTGGCGACACTGTAGTTTGATCTCAGGACTTCATGCTTGCTAAGCCACTTGAAGCCTCCAGCCCTTTTTGCTCTGGTTATTATTGAGATGGGGTCCAAGTTATGCCCAGGCGGGCCTGGCTTGCCAGCCTATTTACTTTTCCTGCCCTAGCTGAGACAGCAGGTATGCGTACCATGTCCAGCTTTTTTCTGTTCAGATGAGGTCTTGAGAACTTTTTTCTCTAGGGTTGGCCTCAAACCACAGTCCTCCTGATGTCTGCCTTCCAGCTATGTAGGATTGCAGGTGTGAATCTCTGTGCCTGCCTGGCTAGTTGGGTCTTTTCAAATCTTACATAACCTCCACCTTTTAATGGAGTATTTGGAGCATTTACATTTAATGTGATTACTGAAATGCTTAGTTTTGAACGTGGGGGGTTCAACTGAACTCAGGGCCTTGTGCTTGCCAGGCAGGTGTTCTACCTCTTGAGCCACACCACAGCTAAGATATTTTTAAAATAGGTTCTCATATTTATTCCTGGGTTGACCTGGACTGTGATCCTCATATTTATGTTTCCTGTGTAGCTGGGATGACAGGCGCACACCACCATGCTCAGTTGTCCTTTTTTTTTTGGTAGTACTGGGGGTTTGAACTTGGGGCCTCATGCTTGCTAGGCAGGTGCTGTACCATTTGAGCCACTCTGCCAGCCCTTGAAAGATATTTTCTCTGGGCTAAAAATTTTGTGTTGATGGTTCTCTTCTTTCAATACTTTAAAAATACTGGCTTACTGTTTCCAGTGACAAATATTTTTTTCTTTCAACTTTAAAAATTCTGGCTGCTTTTAACATATTCCTGTGCTGTGGATTATGCAGTTTAATCATGGCATTCTTAGCATATTGTTCTTTATGTCTGTACTTGGTGCTTTGCAGTTTCTTTGACCTTTGGACTTCTAATTTTCCTCAAATGTGGAAAAATTTTTGACATTTATTTAAAAGTATTTTCTCTCTTCTCTTTCCTTTGGGGACTCTTAATTAAATGTCCATAAGGCTGCTGAGCGCTCTATTTTCTGCACTTCACCTAGAATTTTTATTGCTGTCTTCTAGTTCAGCATATTTGTGCAGTGAAAAAAACCGAGTTTCTGCCATCCTGGAGCTGATACATTAACAGCCAGACTTATGATAAACGCCATGAAAGAAATACATAGAAAGTACATAGAATCAATCATCCTGAGCCTCTCTTGAGACAAGTTTAAGCTGAGCCTTGAAAGATAAGAACTTAGGCATGAATAGAGGGAGAAATGTCCTCAGTAGTGGGGACAGTGTGTGAGGCCCTGGGGTGGGGAAGACGCTGGTCTAAAAGGAGGCCTTAGCAGTGACTGGCAGGGGCTGGATCATAAGTTCAGATTTAACTGCAAATGTAACAAGGTAATTGGAGGGTTTTAAGGGAGTAACATCACTGTAAGCTTTAAAATAATTTTTCATTTGCTATGCTAAGAATCAATTTACTAATTCCTCTGTGAAGAATTGTCTAGTTTCGACAGAACAGAAAAATTTCCCGAGGAATTTCTTCTACACACACACACACACACACACACACACACACACAGTGGTGTAGCAGAATCTACACACACACACACACACACACACACACACACACACACACACACACACACAGGTGTAGCAGAATGAGAAATTTCAGGAAGGTACTAAATTTTGTTTTGAATTTATCTTCCAGCTGGTGGAAGTTAAAGGTCCCAGTGATCGTCTTTCACACAAACAAATGATCTGGTTGGATGAACTGCAGAAGCTGGGGGCTGAAGTAGAAGTGTGCCATGTGGTTGCAGTTGGAGCGAAGAGCAAAAGCCTCAGCTGAAAATGATGGAGTTGGTGATATTTGGTCATACATCGATGCAAGATTTCCAGAAGGATAAAGCAGTACTGAACTGAATTTCACTGATTTCATCAGTTGTAAATATGGTAATTTAATGACTCCTTATTGTACAGTGTCTGTGTATCACAAAACCTGGTATCTGCTTCAATACACTAATTTAGTCCACACAGTGGGTAATGAATTTTTCAAAAGGTCAAAATCTTGGTGGTCATTTTAGGAGCTGGACAAGTCTACGTTACTAGATTAGACTTTAAAAAACTGCTGGAGGGGGAACCCAAACAGGTGGTTCACAGCTTTCGGCCTTCATGAAAGTAGCATGTTTCTTCCTATTAAGCATTTTGGAAATGGAGATTGTCTTTTTTCCCCTTTATTTGTTCATTTGCTCCTTCCTTCCTTCCTTCATTCATTTTGGTAGTAGTGGGCTTTGAATGCAGGGCCTCACACTTGCTTGGCAGGAACTCTTGGCCCAGCCTGAAGATTCTTGAATTTGAGTTTTTGTCTATACTGGTTTACACACCTCACTGTTAAGTATTATGATTTTAATCATCCAAGAAGGGCAGAAATAGTAGAAATTCCCATTTCTTTAGGAATTCAAAGTAATTCTCTATTTTAAGGCAGGGGAGGACTCAGAACACTTGTGTCTCATTTAGCAGAAGCATCGTGCCTGTTACCACGCTCTTGGATGGTGAGTGCTAACAACTTCTGTTCACGTTAGAAACAATGGTTTTCTCCTGTTCTGATTATTCTTATTTTGTCTACTGATCTAGAACCTCATTCAGCACTCATGATGGTTAAATAGTTCAAACACATTGTCAAATTTGATGAAAATGTCCCATTTTTGAAAGTGATGCTTGCAACCTGCTGTGACTGACTTCTGAGCAAGTCCACTGCCGGTCCTCGTGCCTCCCCTGGAGACCAGGCACTGATGAAGAACCAAGATGTGCTGCTCTTCTGCTGGGTTACTTGAAGGCTACTTGGCAAGCTGCTCCATTCCCTAGTGAGTTGAACTGCCGCTGTGCGCCAGGCAGTCCTTGAAAAACCAGACACAAGTACCGCAGGATTCCGGCTCTTCTGGCTCTGCAGGTTAGTGTGAGAGTGGAGAAGCGTTGGGAGAAGAGGAAAGTGTGGAAACAGCCAAGTACAACATGTGCGTCAATTACTAGAGAATAGAGGGAAAAACCTTTCATCTGAAAGTGACGACTTCCTGCCTATTAAAATCACATGATGGATGCTGTGTCCACTGGGATCTTACTGCAGTTAGCTCCTTTGGCGGAATCAAATTATTATATACACACGCTAGACATGAAACCTAAATCTGTGTGTGATTTCTTTCAGATGATAGGACTTTACATCCTCACTAGCAGCATCTGTCAGCAGGTATAATGCGCAGTTGTCATTCAGCTGCAGCATTTTGATCTTAGTAGTCCTTACCTCCTAGTTTTTCTGATTCCTTATATAAAAAACAAAAAACCATGCATGGCTACCTCTTATTTCAGTTTTTCTTTTTAAGTGGCAGAGATATCCTTTCTGCCATCCACAAAAGCTGATCTGTGAGGCTTACTGAAATCGATGTGGCCTGACAAGTGTGTCCATCAGAAAGCTAAGGAGGGGTAACAAGAAGCCACCTCTTTGAGTACGGTGGAATGTAAACAGAAGCGTCAGGTGATAATGACAAAACCAGATTCTTCAGTGTCCAATCCCCACTGCCCCTAACATCCGGGAAATCCACAAACACTGAGCTAGTGACCCACTTTCCCTGGTATACGTTTGTCCCGTCTCATCCAACAGTATGAAAATATAGCACCAGGACAGATGTCTCTTGATGGCCCCAAACAGCATGGGAGGCCCCTGGATCTTGTAAGCTCCAAAGAAGGCTGTGGTAGCATCCAGAGGGCCTGGCAGAAGCTTCTGGGTCAGCAGGCAATGGCTGAGCCCACAAACATGAGGTGTGGCTGTCAGCGTGCTCTTCCTAAAGGCCCTGGGGAGCCGGCCCCATGGCAGTGAATGCCAGTGGGCCAGTACAGACTAACCACCTACCACAGGATCCGGGAAGGGTAGAGAACAAGGCCCTGCACTCACAGATTACAAGGCCTCCCCATGGCTCCAAATCCCTGGTAATGTGACACCATCTTAATTATAGGGACTATGACAATGAGAACTGAAGAGTCTGAGTAATCCAAAAGAAATGATCTAGACAAAAAGAATCAGAAATGTACTTGATCAGTTTAACTGCAGCCCCCAGCCCCCGGTCCTAATACTGTAACACCTAGCACTCAAAGGCTGGTCCCTCTGGGACAGGTGACCTTCACTTGGCTCACAGTTTGGATAGATTGTGATAGACGAGCACTTCAACATCAACTTCAATATCAGTGTCTTCATGTCAATAAAGACGTTAAAATCAGCTGCTTGCTGCTGTGTCCTTGTCCTACAAAGTGGGTAGTGACAAAAGCATGCCACAATTACCTCTCCCTAGCTGTTTCTCCATGCTGAATGGCTCCTAGACGCATACTCCCGAGTTACTATGAGTTGGGTAATATGAGAAAAGTAAGCTCTATTCACAAATTCAGCAGGTATTTTTGGAGTGGGAGGAGTCTGGGTTGGGAGACAGTAGACAGGGTGGCTGATGCTATTCCAAGGTTAAGACAGCCTCAAGTAAGTTTAGGATGCTGTTAGGTAAAATTGAGCACTTTTTATCTGAAGGGCAGCCTCTAATAAAGCTGAAATTCCACACACTGAAATTCCAAGAGGGTTCCCAAACTCATTTCATGGGCACGGTGGCTCACACCAGCTCCCAATACTGGGCATCTAGCTCTGAGTTCAGTGACATTACCATGTGATTTGAAATCAGCCCCCAAGAGTCATCTACCCACTAGAAACTGACAAAAACAAACAGGGCTCCAGTTTTTGTTCTTTTCCCCACTGGTTCTTGAAACATTTATCAACAGATCATGGTTTTAGGGATTGGCACCCCAGGCCTTCTTGGAGGAAACTGATCCTCCAGCTTTTGTATTTATTGAATGAAACCCCAACAGGGCACAGTCCATGGATACCCACGTGGCCTGCTACAGCCAGTTCTGAGCTGATTAAAGATGTTATTGATGACTTCCCCAATTAGAAGGCGAGCAGAAAAGCTGCATGGACTACACATTAGTACGAGTAGAATAAGCTGCCTTCCTGTCTTCAATCACTATGCTCTTGTACTGGGTTTCATATCGACACAGTATCTAGAAATTTTATTTAGCAGTCAAAATTTCCTTTACATTCAATTTGTTGGACAAATCTGATATTCCTGCTTATCCTACTTCAACTCATCAGTTTTAGGCACAAAGGTTTTTCTCTCAAAATTGAGATTTTAACAACTTGAGGTTACTGCTACAAGATTTTGATGAAGGATGTATTGAACAGTTTTCACCCTCTGTTAGCACAAATTAATATCTTTGACTTAAAGTTAGACATTTTTGGCTTTAAAATCAGTTTCCAACATAAAACAGTAAAACACTGCATTTTTAGGTTCAGCACTAGAAAGTCCAACGCCGTTAGGCCTTTGTGTGGATCCCATCAGCGCAGGCTTCACCCCTCGCCAAGGGACACAGTGCTGAGCTCTTTGGTTCACTGCATACCACCACACTTACCACTCCTGTCACCACAGTGTCATTTTTGCTAGCAGAACTGCAAAGCAGCTTTACAATGGCCCAGTTAAGGCTTTATAGTTGTTTTTCATATTATGCACAACACACTGTGGCACAATAATCATGATATAACAACTATGGAGCAAAAAATAAAAGATTTTACATTTATCACATAAAAATATGCACAATTTTCTATTTTTAAAATAGCATTAATAGTACCCAATCTTTTTAAACTTGTAAGTTAACAGAAGATCACTAAAGAAGTTGAAATATATGTGTGAGGGAAGAAACTCACAAAGAAATAAATGTTCAATCAAAAAATAAGTTTAGAACAATCTGTAATTTAAAAAAGCAGCTTAATGAAAAATTATTATTTCACTTTCAGTGGCAGGAAACGCTGTGGTGTTTTAAGAGGAGGGGGGCTGGTTTCCAATCAAGGACTATACTCTTGAATGACAATAGTGCTGTTTGTATAAACTAAAAATAGCCCGTATTTTCAAGGCAAAAACTTGGCAAAGACACTGGGTTTATCCACAAGATGAATTTCTGAAGACTAAGACCTTCTGCCCTGTTAAATCCAGAGAAAATATTAAATAAATTTTTTAAATGCAGATGATGAAAGTAGAAAGTTATTCAGTATATATAAGGTAAAACACATGATCTTGAAATAGGCTAACCAATTACTTTACTGTAAAACTTTTCAAAACCTTAAGATGGCAATTTAAGAGACTAACATAATCAAATGTGAAAATATTCACCTTTTAAAGAGTGAATGGGGGTGTACTGTGTGTGGCGGGGGAGTGGGGTGGTGAAGACTTGTCTGCTAAATGTCACTGCTAGGAGCTTTTAAGTTTTGACTTGCAAAGTTGGCCAGGTTCCTATCAGTTTGAAAATAAGGGGGCTGTAGGTGAGAAATACACCTTGATGTGCTTCTCAGTGTCCACTGAATATTGCTGTCAAGAGTCAGGAAGGGTATGGGGCACTTCTCTCGATATTTGTTAAAATGACAGTATTCTGAGAAGTCCATTTTCATTTCTCCTGTTCCTAAGTGTTAAGAACTGTGTGTGAGAGGACTTCTGTACCAGTGCCCTGACCTGTGACCCTACCAGTTACTTCCAAGAAATGCCGGCCAACATTCGTGTCAGCTGGAAATGCTGGTGGGGAGGCCCAGAATGCCCTGAGCAGCCCTGTGGTCCTGCCCAGGGTACAGCCTGCCACAGCTGGGGTTGTGCCTCTGTTGCTCCGGCAGCCTCTCAGGACCACAACCCCAAAGACTGCTGTGTCGTTGGTGTCTTTCAGAGGGACAGAAATGTGGCTTTAGGGACACCTGACTATTGGTATGAAACTCAGCACAAAAAACATATTTCCAATATGCAGTGGGATTTTTGACACCTAAATTAAAAAAGAAAGTTAATTGTATTTTCCTGTTACTCATATCTTAATGTCAAAGGCACTTCTGGATTTAATTATATTATCTATAGCAAATGTATTAAAAGTTACAGTGCATATCATTTTCAAGTTAGTCCTACAGAGTTAAAAGCAAACTCTTAAGTTCAAAACACAGTGATCTCAGGTCCCAAACAAGATGACCTAGAATAATAAATTCTAACCTGGAACACTGAACTCTTATCAGGTGAGTTCAATTAGGGATAACAGTGACAAAAATACAAGGATACCTAGAAATCTGTGTGTGTAGGGGGTGGGGAAGTTTATCAAATATTCCTAATTTCTTAACTTCCTCATGCCTCCTTCTGTGGTTATCAGGGAGTCTCAGGGAGCCTTTACTACGTAGCAGGAAAAATGGATGCAGACAAAGTAAACATCTCAGAGAAGGCCTGATCAGTTGATCACAGTAATAAGAATGGGGGGGTCTGTCTGCAAATCACTCAGAATGAGCCAGATCTGTAATGACAGAAGGACATAAAAAACCAAAATTACATTTCTCCTAAAATAACTGAAAGGAAACATGATTCAACATGTTCTTAAATATTAGTGCAAATTTCAACTATCATTCTTACATATGAAATTATCAGTTTTAAATGCGTAAGTTAGCAATTTCAATTCGGAGGGAAAAATTTAGTTTCCCTCCAAATGTTCAAAAAATGCTACATTAGTCTTCATTTGCTAGTGTTTCAGTAGATAACCATATTTTGGCCCCACTCAAAAATTTGCTTAATGGCGTTCCTAAAATGCTTCGTCTGCAGAGATTCCCTACAGGAGAAAACGGAAATGATGAGGAGAGAAACGCTGGTATCTCCGAGGTGTCGTGCGGGCCGTGGGCTCTGAAATACATCCTGCTCTGGTCCAGCTCTGAGCAGCAGGCTTCCAGGGGGCCGCTCCGCTGCTGCCGCAGCACCCTGCTAAGCATGTCCACTTCGTCGGCCAGGAGGGAGAGCTTGTGGAAGGCCGTGATGGAGCCCCCAAGGGAGATCTGTGCCTCAGGGACCCAGCGGAAGTAGCACAGCTTCCACAGCTTTATGTAAGTTCCGGAGAGATGTGGCAGAATGATGCCGTGCAGGTCGACTGGCTTGGAAAACCACTCTCTAAAGTACTGCTCTATGTCACTGCTCTGGCTGTCGGTATGCTGAAGTGGGTCTGGCTTTAGTTTTAGTATTAATGAGTTTCTCCTTGGAAGAAATTCTTGGTCACTGATGAGTCCATTCTTTAAGGATGATGGCATTCCTCTGAGTGTGGAGCTGTAGCTTTTCTGCACAGAAGAGAGCTTAGCATTATTCTCCCAGAGCAGACCTTTATAAAAAATACCGAAGATGTAATGGCAAATATAAAGTCAGTATTTGCAGACACTGGGTGGAATTTTGCCTCACCACACACTTTCACTTCTTCCCTTGTAATGCTTATTGTAGTCCTCCTCCTTGGAATCACACTGTTTTTAGTAAGTCTATTATCCTAGAATGGGGGTAGGAGGTGAGTATATCCTGTCTATTAATATGCTTACATGCACATTTGTGACTTCTGGGTTAGGAAAAAATAAATCTAGATTTTTTTTTAAGAGTCTAGATTCTAGCAGGAAAAATGGGCAGACTAGTTTTAGGCTGAGCCTCAATTTGCCAACTTTCAGGTGCTATCTAGCCTTCCTGAGTCTCAAACACCAAGAAAAGTCAAGATATAGATAGTCATGTCACTTTAGAAAGGGAATGCTCCCTAAAAACCTGTATCAACTGTGTTATTGTGGGAAGTGACCCTGCTTCCAATGCTGTGTTCTGAAGATATGTTTGGTTGTGAGAGCCAACAGGAGGTTCTGTTGTTAGAGCACTACTGTAGTTTACCTTTGTCCGTTTGAAAGACTTCCCAGAGCCATTCTGCACACAAGCCGTGCTCTTTCCAATGTAGAAGGGGTTGTGGAAGAGGGTGCGGTCTTTTGCTGTGAATTGAAGAGACCAGTCCCAAACCGAGGGGAATTTTAAGCCCTTTTCATCACCCAATTGTATATTTTTGCTAATAGCAAATTCCTGCAAAGTAAAACATTTAAACGTGTGAAAAGATGTACAGCTAAATCTTTTAATGTGCCTCCATCACCATGCAGATGAAGCATCTGAGGTAGACAGAGCACTCAATGCCTATTAGCGCAGCACTTTCAATCCAAGAACAAGAGGCACAGCATTCTACGGAACCTACAACACCCTCTGAGTGAGTGCAGTGGACTGTTCAGTGTGTTCCCTGCCTCAGAACCAAGGAGGCTGGGTCCTATGCATGATGAGGGTGCTGGTAAGAGAAGAAAAATTTGACTAACATGATACCACAAGGTCTCACTCAGAACATGATGCCCCCACTCTGGGCTGATGCAGCCTGGTGCCCTGGTTTTCTACCACTGCAAATGGATCAACCCAAGGCACCAGGTGACAGAGGACAGACATGGGGCTTCTCTGGAAGGCAGCCCCCAGACCACTTCAAACTAAGTAGTCACCCTTAGTGACACTGAGAAAGGACCCTCATTTTAAAGCAGGTCTGGGGGTTGCCTTCCAGAGAAGCCCCATGTCTGTCCTCTGGCACAGGGAGGACATGACAAGAGTCCTGAGGGAGGGTGAAGGCAGGAAGCCAGGTCTTGGACACGCTGGCCTAAAGAGGCTGCAGGCCTCCTGGCCTCCTGTCCCTTTTCAGGTCACAGTGTGTCTGCATGGCAGGGATGCACAGGTGTGTATATGGCAGTGAAAGATGGAGAGAGCTGAAGGAGGCAAGCAAAGCCCAGAAGTGGCTGAGCTCGCAGTACATGATGACAGGGTACAAGAAATGAAAATGAGCAACTGGGAGATATTTATTTTAGGAACAAGGCCTCAGGAGCCACTGGGGCTCAGTTCAGTATTTGGAAAGGTTAACTCCTTCTGGGGAAGTATAGAATAAGTTGTATAAAAATTTCCCTCCCAAGCTAACCAACCTAAAAAGCTCTCTCTGACAGGGCTGAGTTTCTCTGCGCCCAGGGCTCCCATTTTGAAATGCCTTCTGTGTTCCAAGACCTGGCTTCCTACTCTAAAATGAGGCCTGCCTTCACCCTCCCTCATGACTCTTGTTTTCTGCTTTTATAACACCCTAAGTCCTCTTCTTTGGAACTCTCCTTATTAATAAAATTCTTCCTACAGTGATAGCCAAATAATGCATGTTATTTTTAACACTTACAGTCCAGAGTCATATTTGTTCTGGATAATTTGCATAATGCTTCATAGCTTACAGTTTCATCTTGCAAAATGAGACCAAGGCACAACTGTTAGATGGATGGATCCATCTTACAGATGAAGAACCTGGGTTTACAGGCTTCATCCTGAGGTCTATAGGCCTAGTAGTTTCCTAGACCAGAAGCAGAATTCAGGGTCCCTTGCCTCAAGGCCAGACTGCCCTAGTCCAGGGCCTCAACACTGAGGGTGAAGACCCCAGAGCTCACTATCACGCTAATTTCTTTCTTAGGAAGGCTCCTCTGAGCAGAAAGGAGCTGTGCTTTGGTTTCTCTCCACGGTTACTGTGGCATTTCTGGGTGCTTCTGGGTGTTAGTTCACTTGGGGGTGAAAATCTTGGTGTAGGAAGCTTCTCACAGCAGCAAGATGGTTTCAAGATTTACTTGGCATTCTTATTAGTCCTAAATGACGACTCTTTTCTAGCCCATGAGCTGTCACCAGAAACATAATCCTATCCAAAAGTGACTGCCTTGTGACACAAGGGATTCTAAGAATATATGGTAAGAAGAGAGTGCTGTCTACCTTCACTCTAAAATCCCTGTTCCGTAACACTTGAAGAAAAATAATCTTTGTACATTTATACTATTGATCAATCAGGAAATAAATGTTTTCAAAAGGGTCTTCTTTATTAACCAAAAATCCAAATATAAACCCAAAAGCCTAACATTTATTAAGGTGACTAATGTAATTTATATTCTTAAACTGGTTTATTACAATTAACAGAAAAACACATGAAATGTTCATTAAAAAAGAAATAAAATTTCCTAAATTTTTGTCTTTAAAATAGTGCATTTAGAAATTATAGTTTGAAATGGTCATGATTTTAAACTATGTGTTTTTATTTATTTATTTATTTAGGTACTGGGGTTTGAACTCAGGGCCTACACCTTGAGCCATACCATCAGCCCTGTTTTTGTGTTGGGTTTTGAGATAGGGTGCCTGAGCTGGCTTGGAACCACAATCTTCCTGATACCTACTTCTTGAGTAGCTAGGATTATAGACGTGAGCCATTGGCACCCGGTTTAAATTATGTATTTTAAATATGCAGATAATTATACTTCAGTTATATCTCAAAGTTAAAAAAACAAAACAAAAACAAAAACCCAGTAGCTGAGGCTACCATGTCACTTACTGTGCTTTGCTTTACCCGCTGGTGAGGAGAGTTGAACAAGAAGGTGCCAAACAGTGAGATCCGGGTACTGTCGTATAGCACTGCTAAGTAGATCTCAGAGAACTCGAAGGCAGCTGGGTATTGCTCTAACAGTTGCCACGTGGCATCCAGAAATAGCAAAAATAAGGGAGACTGGCAAACACAGACAGTAGAATTATTTAGTGCTATTTCCCAGTTGTCCACATTTATTTCCAAGTTTATTGCTGATGTTAAGGGAGAGGTTAATAAGAAAACATCTAAGGTTAAAACACTTAGCTCCTAAGTTGAGCTACATCTATGTGAAGAGATTAAACTAATCTACATCAAACCTAAAAAGAATGTTCAGTCACGATAAACATTCAACTTTTATTTGCCTAACAAGTGTAAGTTCAAATGACAGAGCAAACAGATGAGTGCACTGTCACTATATAAATGGGGAAGCGCTAATACGTGTTTCAGTATGTCCTGGAAACAGTTCTTTAAAACATAAAATAAAACAAAATACTCATCCAAACTGTAAGTTTTGGTTGGTCCTGTAGGCTCAGCATCCAGAAAACTCCCCCAAGTTTTAGTAAACAGGGCAGCCTCTAGGATCCATGGATCTATCCCCTGGGCAGCAGCTGCTGACAGCTCTTTTACACATATTATCACAAACCAAATACCCCTGGAAGAACCATCCTAGCTGCCTGCTCTAGATTTGGCTGGGCCTTTCCTAACCTAGCTAGGGACCCAAGGCAGCCACAAGCCCCACAGCTGATACTAAGATGGCCCTCTCAAAATCTTTCTTAACCCATGTGCCCCATTTTAAGGAAAGATAATATTCCAAAAGTGACTTTCACCGGCAGTTATGATAATCTTCTCTTAAGAATGTATATTAATTGTACAAACTAGTAGGTTTCATTATGAGATTTTCATACATGGATATAAGGTACTTTCATCGTATTTATTCCCCATGGCCTACATTTATCCTCCTCCCTCACCCTACTGGTCCCCTTCCTATTTCCTAATAGTCCCCTTTCTACTTTCATGTCTAAATTCCACATGAGAGAAAATATGCAATATGTGGTTTATTTTGCTTAACACAGTAATCTCCAGCTTCATTCATTTTCCTTTCAATGTCTAAATAATACTCTATTGTGTGTATATATCATAAATAGTACTGCTATAAACATGTGTGTGCAGGTATTCTTTGGGTCTATACCCAAGAATGGGTATAGACCTGGATCATATGGGAATTCTTAGTTTTCTGAGGAACCTCCACACAGATTTCCATAGTGGCTCCAATAATTTCTATTCTCACCAACAGTGTATAAGGGCTCCTTTTCCCTCACATCATCACTAGCATTTGTTGTTCTTTTCTTGATGACAGCCATTCTGTGGGGCAAGATGGAATCTGAAAGTAATTTTGAATTTGCATTTCCATGATTGTTAAAAATATTGGACATTTTTTGATATATTTATTGGCCATTTATATTTCTTCATTTGAAAATTGTTCATTTATTCACATATTCAATGGATTATTTGTTCTTTTGGTGTTTAATTTTTTAGTTCTTTATATATTCTGCTTATTAATCCCTTTTGTCAAATGATTAGTAAGAAGAGCTTTTGCCTCTCTGTAGGTGGTCATTCCCTCTCTGTAGTAATTGTTTTCTTTGATGTACAGAATCATTTTAGTTTGATGCAATGTCATTTGACAATTCTTATTATTTCCAGAGGTACTGGAAACGTATTCTGAGAGTCATTACCTATGCCTACATTTTGAAGTGTTTCCCTATGTTTTACTCTAGTCGTTTCAAAGTTTCATGTCTTACATTACAGTCTTTCATCCATTTTGTATTGATTTTAGTAAAAGATGAGAAGTAGGGATCATCTTTCAGTATTCTACATGTGGATATCCAGTTTTCTGAGCAGTATTTAATAATATCTTTTTTTTTTCCCCAATGTATACTTTGGCACCTTTGTTGATAATTGGATGCTGTAGCTGTAGGGCTCATTTCTGTGTCCTCTGTTCTATTCTATCGGTTTGTGTGTCTGTGTCTGTGTCAGTACCATGCTGTTTTGTCAGTATTTCTCTATAGTATTGGAGGTCAAGTACTGTCATAACTCCAGCATTGAGTTTTGTCCTTGTTTTGGCCTTTTAGGGTATTCTGTGCCAAAGCATATTAATTTTAGGATTATTTTTTTCTACTTCCATAAAGATCTCATTGGAATTTTGATGGAGATTGCACTGAATTTGTAGATGGCTTGTGGTAATATGGTCATTGTCACAACATTAATTCTGCTTATCCATGATGAACAGGATTTCTTCCTACCTTTCAGTGTCTTCTCAATTTCTTTCTTCAATGTTTTATCATTTTAATTGTAAGTCTTTCAAACTCCTTATTTAGGCTCATTCCTAGGGTTTTATTTTTGTTGAATGTTTTTTGAGACTATTGTGAATGGGATGGTTTTACTGGTTTCTTTCTCATGGAATCTGTTGGTGTATTAATATTTCAAGCGCTATGTTGAGTAACCCTGGTGACCATGGACACATTTGTCTTGCTGCTGATTTTAGAGGAAATGCTTTCTATTCTTGCCCGTTGGTGTGAACCTGGGGCCAAGTCACTGCCTGCAAGTTTTAACCTTCTGTTTTTAGTTGATGTTATGTGCCAAGATTTGGGCAGGACTAGGTTGTGACAGGGTTGAGGTAAAGTTTTTTACAACTAGGCCATGATGCAGCAACTAAATACCTACCCAATGTGTTCAAGTCACCAGGCCACTCAGAGTGAAGGAAACTAACTGCAGCAGCAACCAAAACCTAGTCAAACCAACTTGAAAGTAGCTACTCTTCAGTTAATTCCACCTCTATTCCTTTGAGATGTAGTGATATGTGGGTGCCACTAGTCCACTGCCCTTGCCTCTATGGTAATCTTTTATTAAGTACATCAATTTGGATTCTAATGCATTAGTTAGCCTTTGATTAAGGAAGCTACAATGTATAAATGAAGTATTAAAAAAGCCTCCTCTGACTGGAGGCATGGCTGAACTGGTAGAACATCTGCCTTGTAAACATGAGGCCAAGTCCCAAGTGCAAATCCCAATACCACCCAAGAACCTGAAAACAACAAAATAAAAAGCCTCCTCATCTATTTTCATGATGAAATAAAATTTTATCTTATTCACACATGAAAACTATTAATAAGGCATTAAAACCGGTTACCTCTTTCTCTGATCTCTTTAAGTGATTACATCGATCTAGGAACTGGTATCCTGCCATAACCCATTCTTTCTGCACCAGACTCTGAAATCCAGTGATTGTCCTGAAATACGGATCCATCATCACTTGAACAAGAGAAGCCACAAGACAGCTCAAATCTCTTCCCTCCTCCTCTGTCAACAAAATGGAAAGAAAATGATTATGACAAAGAGAACTGCTGAAGGGAAGGAGCGGTATGCTAGGTAATATAGTATTCTGAGCCGAAGCTGACCAGTATAGTCCATGTAAGGAAATTTTATTGGATTCCAGGAACAATAAAATGTTAGATAAACTAATTCACTTTTAGATAAACTAAATTAGTGTTTAGTGGGAGAAGGTCTTTTATATATGAATATTGCTAGATAACAGCAGCTTAAACTTCTTACATTTCAATCGTTTGTGGTAGAAAATCTCTCTGTAATCCAGTCTACTACTGTTTTGTCAAGGATACTAAGTATAATGCAATCTGCTTACTGACAATTCCACGTGACAATGACTCAAGAAGTGAATGAGGGGAATGAGACTGTCTACTATCAGCTGAAAAGGTGGCAAATATTTCCTTCCTGTTTTTGAAACTGCCGTCCTTTTCAGTGAGGCCAGAATTAACCTTGATATTGAAGCCAGTCAAAGAAATGAGAAAACTATTGAATGAAAGTCTTTATGATTATAGATATAAAAACCCTTAACAAAATATGAATAAAACAAATTATTCTGAGAATCTAAGAATTTACCCCAGTTATAGACAGTTGGTTTAACATCTGACAATCAAAGCAACAAATATTAATAAAATAAGGGACAACATCTGATCATCTTATCAGAGACAGAAAAAGCATCTGACTACAATTCTGCATTCACTCCTGATAAAAATTCTCAGTACTTCAATAGAAGTACTGAGAAGAAGGGAACTTTTCAAGGTTGGAGATGTCCTCAAGTGGCTGAGCACCTGTCTAGCAAATGAAGGCCCTGAGCTCAGACCACAGTACTGAGAGACAGAGACAGAGAGAAAGAGAGAGAGAGAGAGAGAGAGAGAGCGCACGCTCTACTTCAACCTGATCAGAGACATCTACAAAAACACCATTCTTAATGGTAAAAGACTGGATGCTTTTCCCTAAGACTAGGAATAAAACAAGGATGTCTGTTCTGTTCTCAGTACTTCTATACTACACTATATTGGAGGCTTCAGTCAGGGCAATTAGAAAAGACAAAAGAATAAAAGACAACAGAACTATCATTGCCTACAATATAATCCAGTATGCAAAAAATTCTACTGAATCCACAAAATAACTACTACAAGTAATAAATGAGTTCAGTAAGATCACAAGAATTCTACAAATAACAATCTATACAATAAACCTGGAAATGACTTTTAGAAAACATCTGTAATCACAGTAACATAAAAAATACTGAAGAGATTTAATTAAAAAAACATGACTTATATAGGATTTATTTCATGGATTGGTAGATACAATATAAATGGCATTCTCCCCAAATCGTCTATCAGTTCAACACATTTCTATCAACACTCCAATAGGCTTTTTTTATCCTTGAGTCCAAAAGTTATACAGAAATACAGAATAGCCCAAAGAATTTAAAAAGCAAAGCTGGAATAGTTGCATGTCTCAATTTCAGAACTTAACACAGCTACAGTACTGGAAATAGCATGTGGTACTGGCAGAAGAACTGACAAAAAGATCAATGGAATACAATAGTGCCCAAAAATAAACCTTGACCATTTATAGTCAATGATTTTTGATAAAAAGTACCAAGACAAATTACTACAGGACAGTCTTTTTTCTTTCACTCTCATTTTCTCTTTCCCTCCCTTCCTCCCTCTTTCTGTTTTTTTAACAAATGGCACTGGAACAATTTAATATCCACAGGATAAATTTGGACTCTTAGTTCACAATATACACAATTCATTCAAAATAGATCAGAGACCTAAGGTAAGAGCTAAAACTGTAAAAATTCTCTGGAACAAAGCACAATAAAGAAGTCTCTAAGACTTTGAGGTAGGTAAACAGTTCTTAGAAATGGCAGCAAAAATGATCCATAAGCATGTGAATGGAAAAACTGTATTTCATCAAAATTTAAAAATAATGCTTCAAAAGAAAATGAATGAAAAGCCACAGACTTATTGTCTGGAAATACTGGCAAACCATATAATGATATATAGAACTTGTACCTATAATACATGAAGAATTCTTAGAACTCAAAAGTAAGACAAAACACACTAGGAAAATGTAAGTGAACACTACCCTTCATCTCAGCTAAAATAATCATAAGACACACACAGTGCTGGTGAGGATAGGGAGAAACACAGAATCCTTATTCACTGCTGAGAGGAGGAAAAACGTGGTCTAACCACTTAGAAAACAGTTTGACAATTTCTTAAAAACTTGGACATAAATACAACTCAGCAATTCCAGGTGTATGTATCTACCCAAGAGAAATAAAACTATGTCCTTTAAAACATGTTTTTGTGAATATTCACAGCAGTATACTTCATAACAGCCAAAAAGTGTTAGCAACCCAAATGTCCATCAATAAGTAAATGGATAAACAAAATGTATTTTCAAATAATGGAATACAATCCATAAATAAGAAGGAATTACTTATACATGCTTACATGAATAAACTTCAAAAGCATATATATTAAGTGAAAAAAGCCACATGCAAAGACCACAGATTGTATGATTCCACTTATATGAAGTATCTAGTAAAAGCAGATCTATAGAGACAGAAAGTAGATTAGTGACTGCCTGAAGCTAGGACACAGAAGTCTTTTGGCGTAATGAAAAATTTCTAAAACTAGACTGTATTTACTAAAAATTACTGTACATTTAAAATGGGCATTTTTATAGTATGTAAATTATACCTCAATAAACTATTTAAAAAACATATTTAAAGGTGTTAGTGAAACAAGCTCAGTACTTCTGCAGTCTTTTATGTTACAATCGAATGGAGAAATTGAGGCTAAGTAGGACTTTCTAGTTTAGAGGGAAAATACCTGAATGCATGCTTTGCAAATATTTGTGGATTAAACACACACTCTGGTAGCCTGTTAAGGATTACTGTATATAACATATTACTATTCTTTCTTTTTCCTCTAAGGTTGTAAAATGTCTTTCTCTTGTTAAAGTAAATTTTACAGTTGGTAAAAATACTTCCAGATGGCCAGGCACTCGTGGCTCATGCCTATAATCCGAGCGACTTCAGGAGGCAGAGATCAGGAGGATCGTGATTTGAAGCAAGCCCAGGCAAATAGTTCTCAAGGCCCTATCGTGAAAACACCCATCACAAAAAAAGGGCTCGTGGATTGGCTCAAGGTGTAGACCCCGAGTTCAAGCTCCAATATCTCATTTAAAAAAAAAAAAACTTCCAGATGCTTAAGTGTCTTGTATCCATACACTATGCATGGTGATCATGTAATAAAAGGTAGTTCATTTTTGAGTGTAAACCCAAAAATTCTATTAGTACTAAAGTTACTTAGTATATAGTTACCTCTTGCTTAACTGAGATTTTTACATTGCAGTTTATTCCTAACAAATACTAGATACAATTCACATTATTTGGCTATTTAGTTCAGTCAATTCTTATCTCAAGCTGTTTCTTTTAGGATCACAATCTAGCATGAGTCAGAAATCATTTAAGCTAAACCAAATCTGTAGGAATTAGAATGATAATAAGATTAGAGATGATGCCCTGACAAAATTAATATTAGGTATTAGTTCAAGTAAGGGATGTGACCTACCCTGCCCACAGAAGAATAAGAATTTACCAAAGGGTACAACATCAAACCCCTTCCTGTTCTTCTGTTTGTAGTCTTTGTACTGCTATCTTATCCAATGATGTAAAAAGCGCTAGTGTATTTCACAGTTTGGTAGTAATTAGAAGATAGCTAAGATGGATATAATATACTTGTGTATGGACAATCAGTCACCAAGGCTGGCTGCCATGTGGTCATGGTGTTTTCAGGAATTACTTTAATTACCTTGAAGGACTATAGAGAGATGTTTGCTTTCTAGCATATACACAAGCTCTGCTGAATGTTTAAGGAAGACTCTGAAAACAGAAAGGAGAAAAATACTGTTAAGTATTACATTTGTACCACAAATATATTTTAAAAGTACCTGAAATCAAGCAAAACTCATCTTTCACTGTATCAATTGTATTCTCAACCTTATGGATTTCTTTGGTATTGATATGGTTCTTCAACAGAGCATATTTTCTGATTTTTATATTGGGGAGATTCAATAACCCTTTATAAAAAGGAAGGGGTTGATTGATGTAGCATTCATGAAATTATAAAACTAAAGAGGTGGAGAAGAAAGTAATGGTTGCCAGAGGCGGCAGTGAGGTCAGGGAGGGATCAGCTATACCAGGGCAGCATGGTGGAGCCTGGTAGAGATGAACAGTTCTGTTTTGACTACAGTAGTGGTCCTGTGGATCTATACATGTGATAAAATTGCACAGAATTACACATGCACATGTGTGCACACATACAGGACAGCATGCAGACTGTACCAATGTTAATTCCCTGGGTTTGACGCTCTACTCTAGTTATATAAGAGAACCACTGGGGGATGCTGGGTAAGCAGTACATGGCTCTCTGTACTATTTTGCACTTCTTGTGAGCTTATAATTATTTCAAAATAAAAAGTTAAAGAATAAAAGGGAAAGATGATGACAAACCTGACATATTCTAACCACCGAGTACTTTCCAGTGAAGATAACCATTTCTCCTCAGTTTCTTCAAAAGGCTCTGTAATACATATGACAATTTATATATATACACACACACACACTCACATGTGTATATATGCACACAAAGACATCTTTATGCTTGTATCAGTGTTAAGACATACAGCACAGTGTCTAATATTTAAGAGTTGGTTTTAAGGTAGTGTCATTCATTTTCACTTTAGTAAATACAGAATAAATAGCTAAGAAGACATGTTGTTCTTCCCATGTAGTGCAGACTGGCCTTGAACTTGCTATGTAGCAGGCTGGCCTCAAACTCACAAGCAATCCTCCTGCTTCACCCGCCCAAATGCTGGGATTACACATGCATGCCACCATGTCAGACTACATGTTACAACTCTGTAACAGAGCAAAACAAAGCCCTCCCCTGGGTCCCTATTTTCTGCTCTCTGGCTCTGTAAGAAAGCCAGACTAACTGCTTCCTGAGAGCTTTCCAGCCAATCTATATCTTAACTCTGGCCTGCTGGACCTATGCAAACAGCTGCTCAGGCCCACTTCTCAGCTTTCTTGCTGTAAAGCCCTGCTCCTTCCTGCTCTTCCCTTGCTGCCAGTGCTGCCTCTGGGCACAGGGCTAATCAGTGTAGGAATGAGAGAGCACACCTTTACTGCCCTGCCCATGGTGTAGATAATCACCAAGACACTGTTTTTTTAAATACCCTGCCTCACTCTTGCAAAGCACTCTTTCCAGGTCAGTGCCCATTCACTGTTCAAGACCTGTCAAACGTCAGCCTTTCCAATGCCCAGGTGACACACTAGGACCCACTTTACGCCAAAGAAGCTTTCATGTGACACCTTCCCAGGGCAGTGTAAATACCTAAGAGTTTGCTCAGATATTAGAACACTGAGGTCATCCATTCAACATGGCTCTGTTTGAGACACACGCTGGGTCACTGATCTCAAAATATAACTGTATGTGTTAAAATCAATGTGTTTGTCTACTTAGCAAATGCCTTAATAAAGGTGTTCTTCTATAATTTTCATGATTTGAAGGGGATTTAGCAGGCTCAATTTTTCTCTCCAAAACAAAAAGTAGTTGAAACTTCATTTTCTAGAGGTTGACACTCTCATACAGTTGAACAAATATTTTAAGGAGCACTCCTTAAATGTATCTACTTCTGTATTTTGAAAGGGCATCACTTTTCCTGATTGTTCAAATACAATTCTTTACCACCCACTCATTACAAACATGTACAAAATAAAAATGTGATTACCATTAACACAGAGTTGCTTAAGTTTTACAAATGCCGCCTGTATTTCTTGAATATTGGGCAAGGTCTTATCCAAACCTGATTTGTAAACATCACTTCTCTGTGGATGACTTTTAGTTATTGCATTACAAATCCTAATAAAGACAAAATCCTTTAGTTACTATTCATTCATTTCTTCAACATACATTTGTTCAACACTTACAATAAGCCAAAGCACTATTCTAAAAGCCAGAGACAGAGAAATGAACAAGATAGGCTAATGCTCTGTCTTTATGGAGGTTATATTCTGGGTGGTAGTGGTGAGGTAAATAACAAGACAATAACAAGCTACTTTAGGTTGCATGGTCAGAAAGGGTTTCTCTGTAAAGATGATATTGAAGCTGAAACTCAAATGATGATGACTGACACAAAAATCTGGGGAAACTGTTCTAGGCAGACAACTTGTACAAAAGGCCCTGGTGGAAAACAAAGATGGCTATCACAGAAGCCTAGAGAAGGCCTATGTATTAGATGACAAAGTCAAGGGGAAAAGGTGTGGAGATATGACTAAACAACAACAACAACAAGAATCTATGAAGAATAGGACTGCTAAAATATACAAAGCATAGATCTGGGATTGAGCTTGCAGGAGGAGTGCTTGCCTATCATGTGTAAGGCCCTGGGTTTGATATTCAGCACCACACCACACATGCACACACCACATATACACACACAGAAACAAGCAAACAAGGTAGTGTCACAATTGTCCTTTTAATGGCAAAATTCCTAACTGAGCACTTAATTGGCACACATTAGTAAAAACAAAGCTTGGAATATGACAGAATAGAAAGTTAATCCTAGTGTGATTAGGATGAAATAAAATCCACTCAATGTAATTATAATAAAATTAAAATATGATTTTGTGGAAATGAAGGGTTCATTTGAAGATCACCTGACAGTTAACTTGTTTCAGCAAATACAACTTTCTTAGTTCTAGCTGTTCCAATAATAGACTATGATATTTCTGAGGATCTCTGGGCCTAATTTATTCAACTTATTCAACAAGTATTTTATGGTACTTCCTAGCTAAGTATATAATGGTTACAAAACAGAACTCATGGGGTCTACAATATATTGAGAAAGGCAGTAATTGAACTGCAAGACACAGAAAGATCAAACAAAAACAAACACAGTGAAGAAAAACCAGAGAGCTCTAGAGAATGTTTAACTGAGTCCAGATCTCATTTAAGAGGTGGGAGAAGGAGGTGATTCTGAACTGACAGATAATGAATGAATAAATGCCAAGGGGTGGGTGGAGGTTGCTCATGGAGGAGTGTGAAGAAGGCAGCCCAGGAGGAAGGAGCAATAGAAAATGTCAAGAAAGCAAAAAGACCAGGAAACATCCAGGTGGCTATAGCCCTAAAGATGGAAAACAGATGGAGAAATGACACACAGATGGGGTGAAGCAGGAGTGCTTTTTCTAAAAAATGAAGTGGTAACTTCTGATGACGAACTGCAGATGAAGAAGGGAAGAAGAAAGCCTCAGACTGGGGGAGGCATGGTAGTCATAACCCTGAGTCTAGTTTTGGGTATAATGAGTTTACAGGAACCTGGAGACCCCACATGGAAAATGTCAAATTAGATTAGAGGCATCAACGTACTGATCACTAAAGCACATCCCTGAATGAACTTCTTCAAGAAGGGAGTACAGAACAGAATGGAGGAAGAGGTCTTAGATTCCATGTGATGTTCAAAGAGGATGAGTGTGTGGAGGACACAATGCCAACAAGGAAAAGGGGCAACAGGATAGTGGAGAGGAGCAGCAGCTGAGAATTCAGAGGGCACTGAGTGAGAGTGACCAACAGTGAGCCTGGTACTATGAGGACAAGTGAGAAAGGCTCCGACTTCAGTGATATGGAGATTACTAGTTACTTTAGCAGATGCTGCCAAACTTGTTTGCGGTGGTATGTTAAACCAATATTCAGATGCTGCCAAACTTGTTTGTGGTGGTATGTTAAACCAATATCCTCGTAATTGTGACTGCATAGCCCTAAATAAGACACAGTTGAGCTACAAGGGAAGTTTAATTTATCCTCAAGTGTCTCAGCTAGAAATCACTCCACTTTTAAAGTACATTAAAGGCAATGTTATTGCAAGATGTCAGAAATGTACAGTCCACAAATGTTTTGTCAACCAAAGATAATTTTAGTAGATTCATGTTATTTTCAAAATGGCGTATCTTGTATAGGATATATGGCACTAACTAAGATCAGGCCAACAATTTACAACTAGTAGGGAACTTACTGAACTTAATTATGACAGATAACACAACTGACAAATAGCATTTCTCATTTACCTCTGGTCGATTTTCCTCTGCTGCAGAGGGTCTTTGATGAGGGCCATTCGCACAAGAGCACTGCCATTCGAGTGGCACCAGCACCAGAGCTAGGAGACAGACAGAATCCTTACTTAACTGGATAGAAAGGGTGGGTAAGCATTAAAAAGCATCCAAAAGAAATCACATACGGGCATTCTCCTTCCAACAAAAGAATGGGAGAAGATCTTCAGATCTTGGTCTGCTAAAGAACTTGGCACTACAAAGTATTCCGGAAGGCTGGAAGGGAGAAACAGAGATCACACATTAGAGTCCTGTGCTCAAGGCAGGAGCAGAGTGCTCTGTAGACCCATCAATAACTAACACATTTATCCCCATTTAATGTATACCTCATTTAGTAGTCATACCAGAGAGCACCATGGCAGGCACTGATAATCTTAGATACTTCAGTCAACAACATGTGTGATGGGACTGTTTCCCACAAAATTACAATTTGTAATTTTTAGCATGAGAAAAATACAAAAAATATTTAAAATATATTCCAGATTATAACTATTAATCAAACATGTACATGCTCTCTGAAAAACATATCCACTTTTGTTCACTTGACAGGTTGTAAATGAGATTCCAGCAAAACAAAGCAAAACAAACCCCCATAATACTAAGAAGCTTCAGCTCCCTCTTTTTTTTTTTTGGCAGTGGGAAGGGGGCAGTACTGGGGTTTAAGCTCAGAGCCTAAAGCTTGCTAAGCAGGTGCCATAACACTTGAACCATTCCCCCCAGCCCTGTTTGCTTTAGTTATTTTTGGGATAGGGTCTCACATTTTTGCCTGAGCCAGCTTGGACCACAACCTTCCTTATTTATGCCTTGTACCTAGCTGTGATGACAGGCATGTTTCTACTGCACTCAGCTTTACTGATTGCAATGGAGTCTTACTAACTTTTTGCCCAGGCTGGCCTGGTAATCATTCCCATTTCTGGCTCCTGAGTAGCTGGTATTACAGGTGTGAACCACTACACCTGGCTTAGCTACTTTCTTCTTCTACCTTCCTCATCCCTTCGAGGCACAGTTAGACTCTAGACACTGATCAAACAACACTTATTGGTGGGTAGGCCCACTGTCCCTTAAGATATCCTCCCTCCTTCTCTCTTCTTTCCTCCACACGGCCCAATGTATGGACAGAGTTAGGCCTAGCCAGGTCCTGTCATGTGCTTCTTAGCATGTCCACAGGAGCATGCTGGCTGCACAGGCCAAATACAACAGGAAGCAGAAGACACACAATCCAAGACACCTTCCCCAGACCTGTACACTAAGAAGTTCCCCAGTGCTGGATCAAGTAGTAGTAACAGGGTAGCACCTTCTTCCCCACCTAAAAAGCTGATTATCTGCATGAACCAATAATGACCTAAATGATCTTTAAAAGCATTCCAAAAATTTCACCAGTACTAAATGATATTGAATAAACAAAACTTCCTGGTCACTTTTGAAGAATTCTAGGGAATCAGCTCACTAGTCTATAAACTGGTAAGTGAAGCAAAGATAGTAAAGATTTACATTGCTTTTCTTGTAGGAACTATATTTTAGGGTACTAAAGAGCTAGTGAGACATAGAAAGCAGAAAGATGATAGAATTAGAGTATGACTGAGAGCAATCCTTAATAAAATAACAGATCTGGGCAACCATCCTCACTACCAGTAAAAATTATTTTTGGCAGCTAAACCCATGATATATAAGAGGAACACTGGGGATAGGCACAGTGGCTCACACCTTAATCCCAGCTACTCGGGAGGTAGAGATGGGGAAGACTAGGGTTCAGGTCAGCCTGGGCATAAAAATGAGACCCCATCTGAAAAACAACTAAAGCACAAAAAGGTTGGGGGGCATGGCTCAAGTGGTAGAACACCTGTGTAGCAAGTACAAGGCCCTGAGTTCAAATCCCAGTACTGCCAAAACAAAAAACAAGGGGGTGGGACTTTCTACTAGATGGATCAGGCTTATAGTCCTTAATAAGCATAACACGAGAGAGAGTGACACGGAGACAAAGTGAACCAATGAGAGAGAGAGAGAGAGAGAGAGAGAGAGAGAGAGAGAGAGAGAGAGAGAGAGAGAACCACTGCCCCCCCACCTCCCCTGCCACACACACATAGCCAGCAGAAGACTGGATGTGATATACTGACATACCAGAAGGGAAAGAGTACCACCTGATGAAATATTCTTGCCAAACACTGAAGTCTTATCTAATTACACCCAGAGAGCTACCTAACATATTTAGGAGTTAAAGGACATGTTAAAAGACTCTGAAGGATAAAACCAGCAATACCTAGAGCTGGAAAATCTGTAGCATGGTAACGTCATTTTGTCTACAAGTATAAAGGAGGTGAGAAGGACTATTGTAGCTTAAAAGGCCTAAGAGGCACATTAAACAAATTCAATGATCTAAACAAACAAACTTTAATCACTATCAACTTCTTTCCATGCATGTTTATATTGAAGTGATGTTAAAAAGCCCTTATCTTTAAAATGAAATATCCATTAAGTAGCTACTCAGTCCTAGTGACTTGGGAGGAAGAGATCAGTAGGATCATGGTTGGAAGCCAGCCCAGGCAAATAGTTTTCGAGACCCTATATTGAAAATATCACAAAAGAAGGCTGCAGAGTGGCTCAAGTGGTACAGTGCCTGCTTAGCAAGTGTGAAGCCCTGAGTTCAAACCCCAGTACTGCCAAAAACAAAACATTAAAAACAAGTTTTCTATTAGTCATAACTTGAAAATTATCAATGGCAGTATAGTTTGACTATTCTTCACAGAGAAGTCACTTCCAAATACATATACACATCAATGTTAAAGTTGGACTTACCAAGTGGATATCATATAACCCTCATTAATAGAACAAACTCTCCACCCAGAAGCACCTGTCCTCTTGATTTCTCTGTCCCAATCTGAGTAAGTTTCAAACAGTGGAGTTTTCTGGTTGCTGCCACCACCAGCTGTGCTCCTTCCTCCTGAAGGCATTCCATTAATTTTGTTGGCTGTAGGAAATGCAATATTATGAATTTTGTTGTAATTTTTGGCCAGCATTTGCTCTTTCAGGACTCCTGTTACATACATGCTCTGATGTGGAATCTCCTCCTCCTCCATGCTTCATCTTTCAAGTTTCTTCACGAATCACCTTGTCCTTTCTATCTAAAAATAATTCATCTAGTCTTGTTTGTACCTGGCTGGCTCACCACTCCATAAACACCTTTGATTTTCCTGTCCTTCCACCGGCTCTGTATCCTCTGCCTTTGAACATTTTTTTTCTTTTTATTTTTTTAAAAGAAAGTGTCTCGCTATAGAGCCCAGGCTGGCCTGGAACACATGATCCTCCTGCCTCAGCCTCCCAAAACCTATAATTAGACATGCACCATCACACCTAGCTTGATTTTGAAAAGACTTTCATTCAATCACATTGATTCACTCTAGCTAACATGCCACACAGTTTTCTTTGTCCTTTCACTGACCACCTCCCCATATAACAAGGATTGCCCACTGCAATCCTCACCATTAAGTTTCTCCTCATTTTTAAATTGTCCTCTGTCCCTCCCATTTTATGGAAACTATTCCCCATCCTCACTCATTCTCCCTGTCCAAATTGAGGGGTAAATCTAAGTCATTTACCTATTTTCCTCACGTTTTGCTTTGAAAAATGAATGCATCCATCATTCATTCCTGTTCTCAAACCCTCAAAATACCTGTTCACTTTTCCAACACCAACTTCCATCTATCTGCTCACTAGAAGGCTCTTGGTTTCCTTATCTACTCACTTTGCCTTTGAAAAGCTCAAAAGCTTGCTTACAGTCCACAAGAGGCTAAAGTGCTGGCCCTATATGGCAATTCTGGCAGGATGGGACCAGACCCATTTCCCAAGAAATTCCTTGGAATTTCTTACCGGGGAGCCCTAAGAGCACTACTGCCTTCTGGAAGCACACCCACAGACTGGAAGAGCCTGCAACATGGCCAGAGAGAGAGAAATGTCCCAACATTCAGCCAGACTTGCCATGGGTGACAGATGTGTGACACAGTGGCTCCTGGGCCAGTATCGTCCTGCCACAGGGTACACCTAGGGAGTCTCCAGGCTGACATCCAACAGAATGGTGTGCTGCACTGGAACCCTCCAGCAGCTTTTCACAAGACACACTGCCGTCTTGGCCCAATCTTTCAGTCATGCTCATTTTCCAATGGAATCAAACAAACCTAAGTGGTTTCCCTTGACCTTAAAGATCCCTCACATAACTGTTTATTTACCACTATTCCCAATTTCCATTCTTCTTTGCAGCCACACAAATGCTTAACTGTTTCATGAATGCTGTATCCATTCTCACTTATTATTTATTAACTTCTGGTACAAGACAGGTAATTTCTGAGAAAGCATGATGTGCTAAGGCCTGAAAGCAGAAAGCTGAGAAAGGTTTTATTTCTTATTTATTTTTTGGCAGCACTGGAATTTGAACTCAGGACCTCATGCTTGCTAGGTAGGCACTCTTACCACTTAAGCCACTCCACCAGTCCCTTATTTCTTATTTTGAAAGCTCTAACAAGACACCAGGGCATAAGTGCAATAATCAGTGCCCTGAGTGACTGAGTGCAGTGAGGATACAGAAGAGGAAGCCCACAGTCTCACTGAGGAGGAAGGCTGGGCGAGGAAAGGCACTCTGATTTGACCACATCTGAACAGAGTCCTGAGGAAGGGGTCAAAGTTGCCACATGACTGGTGATGAGGAGGAGGGTATATTGGGCACAGAATATTAAAAAAAACATGGGACAATGGTAAAACATACAGGAATTAAATACAGCTAGACAACAGGGATGCAAGAGGTGGTGGGAGAAAGGCTGGAAAATTAAATGAGGCCAATACTCTACATCTGTACTGCCCAAGAATGTAACCACTAGCCAGCCAGTGCCTGTTTACATTTAAACTAAAATTAAAATTAAATAAAACATCAGCCCCTCCCTTGCACTAACCAAATTTCAAGTGCTTAACAGTCAGATGTGTCTACTGGACAGTACAGAGGAGGGGACACTTCCCTTCAGGACAGTGCTACCATAGATCATGAGGGGCCTTATGTATCATTTAGGAATTCTGAATTTAATCCTTTACATACCACTGAATTACCCAGTAAGTCTGATTTTACCAGAACTCATTAAAAGTGAAAATGCTAATAACCCTATATCCCCACATCTCAGCACCTCCTCTGGAGGAACAGCTAGAAAGCGTGCAGGGTGACAGGAATAATGATCTCTCGAGAACACATAGCATTTTCAGGCAGTTCCTAATCTACATACAGTATTCCAAAGCACCCAAACACAGAAAATCTAAGTAATTCATCATATGACTCAATTGAAGGAGGAAAACCCACATGACCAGCTCAGTAAGTATAGAAAAACATATGATAGACTTCAACACCTGTTTATGATTAAAAACAAACAAACAAAAAAGACTTGATAAAGACTTGATAAAGGGTGTTTAGCAAGAACACCCAGGAAACAGCATCATCAAAACCAAGGACAGAAATGATGCCTGTGACCACTGGTGATACTGAGCACTCTACCACAGGTCCTAGAGACCACTGGACAACTACCACAAAATGCAGGATGAACACACTTAAGCCGGGCGCCAGCGGCTCATGCCTGTAATCCTAGCTACTTAAGAGGCTGAGATTGGGACTGCAGTTTGAAGCCAGCCAGGGCAAAATTTGAGAGTATTTTGGAAAGTACCATCTCCAAAATAACCAGAGCAAAATAGACTGGAGGCATGGCTCAAGCAGTACAGCACCTGCTTTCCAAGCATGAAAGGCTGAGTTCAAACTCTAGGCCACCAAAGAAAAAAAACAAAGTAGACATTCAAAATTTTTGAGAAGAGGCATATGAACAGTTTGACAGCCTGCCCCCCACTAAGAGTCTAAAACTGAATACTCTTTAGTGTTCTGACTTGGAGGCCTTAATAAAATAGGCTGAGAATATGTTACTATTTATGAAATTATTTCTCTGGACAAATTTAGTCTCAAGATCCATCTAAAATAGTCAAATTTTTCTAAACACAGAGTGAGAGCATCTATCGGATCCTATATTGTTTGTCATTTTAAGGATTCCTCTTCTTCAAGCCCTGTACCTTTCTCAACAACTGGGTCTAGTTCTTTCACACACACTGTATCTTCCTCAATAAGAGTTCATTAAAAAATGAGAAACAGATACTCAATCTGACTTTAAAGTCAGAAATTCTAATGCTCTCCAGAAAGCCCCAAGGACTGATACCAGCAATATGCTCCACAAGTGCACTAAGCGGAGTCACAGCAACAAACTGGCAAAGTGAGTCATCTCAGAAGATCTACAACCCCTGGTCGCCAACCTGACTGAGGTTTTATGGCAAAGCTTTCCAGTGACTAACTGAAACTAGACACTAAATGCTCCTCACCTTGGCCATCTTTTGTGATGTACTTCAGAAGTCTAACCCTACACTGTAAAGGCTATGTTAGAGATCCCCCTTATTTGACACCATTGACATTTAGAATGGTCTCAAGCAACAGGAAAAATAAGAGTAGTCAACATCTGAAAAGAAAGCCTATCACTATGATGATATGGTACACCAAGACCTACATCACCGAAACTATACATTTTCTCATGTGAAGCTACGTGGCAGTTTCAGACTACACCACAGAATTTTCATGTGGAGTTGTTAACACAGAGCCTGTAGATAACTTCATGAGGTTTTCAATTTTTCAATCCAGAAGCATAACTTCTTTTGGCATTACTTGTCCAATAATCTGATTGAGGAACACAGAGTTTCTTTGTGGTTTCTTTGAAGTTAAGAGAGAAAAACAGAATCATTGTTCTTATTTGTGCTACTTCCTGCTGTCGTGTGTTTGTGTGCAGTGATATTCCGAAGCCTGTGGGTGCTACATCCTTCTTGTTCTTCAGGATATCAAAAAGGTATGTGGATGGCTGCTGAGCCTGTCAGAGTGGCTTTTACTCATGTGGTGCAGGATGTAAAAGAAAATCCCTAAGGCCAGCTAAGAGATGCTTTTCCTAATAACTGCAAGGGACACTCTCCAACTTTGGATCTTATTTGTGGAAACAGCTTTGTCACCTACCTGCCTGCAAAAAGGACTTCTTTAATCCAGCCAATGAATCAAGGTGCCATCCAGAAGTTCAAGAGTGGATTATTGGGCTCTTTCACTCACAAATTAATGAATTCTGACTGCAGTGTGTGGAAATTTCAGGCTTCTTTTGATCTTAAAGATGCAGTTTATGCTTCTGTAACAGCATGGAAGGATATTAAAGGATGTTACCCTACGAGGAAACTGAACAAAACTTTGGCCAGAGCTACATTTATGAAGTACTTGCTGAAGGAGAGGATGTCAAAAAGATGTAATATAAATAAAAGTGTTCCTGAATATTTTAAGTATTATCAGATTTTATCCACTGGCTATATAAGGAATTAAGAGGAACTGATTGACCGAAAACCAAGTAGTAGAAAAGCAATAGGTCAATAAACTATTTAAAAGTTTTATAAACCAGAGATGCCCATAAAAAATGAAGAAAAATGTGAAAAGTAACTTAAATAGGCATCAGGTTACCAGCTGTACAATGAAGCTGACTGATTTGCTGAGCATAGGCTATTAGGTTTTTGTAGAAGTGAAGGACCTATACACAGGACCAAGCCACTTCTATTAGAAAAAAAGTAGCATGAGCAAATTGATGCAAGAATCAAACACTAACTCCTAACGCTCTTGCACCTCTTGAAACTTTCCCTTCATCTACTAGGACTCTAGGTTCAGCTCTTACTGAAGATAACCTTGAAGGTCACTGTTTTGCAGGCTGCTGATGATCCAAAGGGGCATTTACCGAATAGAGTGGATTTTTAATGCTTTGTTTTTAGACAATTTAGTTTGTATTAAGAAATCAAACTTTAAAAAGTAATTATGCTGCTCAAGCCTGTCATAATGCACATTTTGGTAAGAAAAACTAAGTTACAAAATTTTTGTTATCCAATTTCTATAGAGAACAAGATAAAAGCTGTTCTGCAGGCATTATTTTCATATATAAGCTCTTTAGTTTTGATTAGTACTTTTTTTTTCTTTTTGCTTGGGTGGGACTGGGATTTGAACTTAGGGCTCCACACTTGCAAAACAGGCGCTCTACACACCTCCAGTCCATTTTGCTCTGATTATTTCGGAGCTAGATTCTCACGAATAATTTGCCCAGGCTGACCTTGATCTGTGATCCTCACAAGTAGTTAGGAATACAGGCATGAACCACCAATTAGTACCTTTTAAAGTAATGAAAGTGTACTTATACCATATGCATCTGTGGATACTGTGACTTGATACTACACTTAAATGTATTTAAAATATAGCGATACTGAGATCTACTTTAATTATATTATCTAAATCACTACCATATGTTTTAAGATAACAAATATAAAACTGCAGTACAATTAATAATTTACAAGCTCTAGACCATGCTTGGGTGAATGGATCTTCCATTATAAAGACACACAGATTTACTTTTCTTCCTTGAACAGTGAGAGGACATGTGTTTCAGGCAGCTTGCTGATGTGCAGTCACTGACCCACCAGGGAACTAATAGGAGACATGGCCTCTTTTACTCTATTGTTTCATGATTCTTTAAGTATGGTTATTAAAAATCACAGTGTATATATACAAAATGTTTAAAACCAAAATGATACCACCAAACCTAGGATTTTACATAGTACTGACATAGACACATGGATGAAGCTATTTTATTGTCACAAAACTGCCTAGAATACACCTGTTCTTTGGACAAATGCTTGCCTTCCTTTCATCAATTTATTTAGAAAGAGGAAGTCAACATTGTGACAATCAAGTCCACTAAACGTTTTAGCCACTTCGACTTCTGAGTGATATCACATCTTGCCAGTTATGCTTTTCAACTATCTTACAGTTGTTTTCTTAAAAAACTTTACTTTAACTCAAGTTACCAATTAAAAGGTCAGGGAATATATTCACCCTAAAATATGAGCCAGTATTCAGAGGTAAGATATATGACATGACTTTTACAAGTCAGTATTTATGGCTGCTAAAAGGTTTTTCCTGGTTACTTTTCAAGAAATATTTTGACAAATACTGGCTCTTTTAGTATATAGTACTTACTTCTTTAACAGGTAGGAAGCTAATAATTCTACAGTCATTAAAGCTCATGTACTTGGAGGCTTCTGAGAAACAGGAATAAAATTTACACATGTAAAGTTAGTCACAATATTTAATATTTTCATATTTACCTGAATTGTGGTATTTTTTCCCAACATATTCAAATGCAAAGAGTAGCTGGAGGTCTGTTGGCTGGGAATAATGAGCTATTGCAAGGCATACCTAGGAAAAATTCTACATTTAGAATTTGAAATTAACACACTTAGTAAATGAAATGTACAATAAGGCCTTGGTCGCTGGGAGTTTCATTCTTGGGCAGTGACTACAGATATTCTTTACATGTTTTTCTGTTGACTTAGAATGTGAAAAAGTTCCTTAAGGCCAGGTATCTCATTCATTTTTGTGCCCCCAAGACTCTTTAATCTTTAGCTGGTAATGTTAAGTAATCAGTATACATTTGTTGAATTGAATTTTCACTGGAAAAAATTTCATTTCAATAAATGAAACATGAAAGCTAATGGAGCATTCTCCAAAATGTTAGTGACAACATATTCACTCAAAAAAAGTTTTAGTTTAGTGTATTATAAAGGCTTAATGTAATTGTGAAACTTTAACAGTTAGACATCATGGATTTAAAAAAAAATCCAAATTTGTTGTAGAAGCCACAATCACAAAAAATTTAAATTTGCAAGAAACCCAAAAGTACACTAAAAAAAAAGCTACTGTGTTTAAATAAAATGGTTTGAAGACTGTGGAAAAAGTATGGGCTATCCAGTCAAACTGATCAGGATTTGATCCTAGTTCCATTAAGTAGCAGCTACATGTGAATCCCTCACTCCCAGCCTTGGTCTCATGTAAAATGAAGGTAATACCTAGCAGTTGTATGCATTAACAATCTTAATGCATGCTTGGCCTTCAGAGGAACTCCATACACAGAAATATGGTTGTTATGATTCTCAACTGCTGTTGGAAAGAATGAAGAATAGTACTCTGTACTTAAAACCCTAGATTAGACTGTGGAAGAAAATGTACTTAAACAAGCAAAAGAGGAAAGGAGAAATTTAAGACATATGCAAGGCAAGAATAGCAGATGACCTTACTTTAAAAAAGTATCTATCAGTTAGAAAGCAAAGCACTAAACCAGACTGCTATACTTTTGACAGTAAGCAAGCAAGAAAAGTTAAGTGCTAGTTCATGTCAAATTAAAGGTATTTGGAATGAGATGGAGCAGATCCCATTAACCAGTAATTAGGTGTCAGACAGCCTGTAGTTTAACTTTATTTTACAGTCATCCACAGAAAAACATTTCCTATCTTACTAAATTAAACTACACAACCAAGAGGACTGAATTTATCACTAGTTTTGACCAAGTTGGGGAGGGTGTCCTAAATGTTACATATTTGGATTTCTAAATACCTATTAGAGAGCTTTCTATGAGGGTCCCACTTACAAAACTTAGAAGATGTTAGTTACATTCCCATTCCTAATCTTTACATCAGATTTCCTTAAATCACTTCCAGTAGCAAAACTACTGAAATCTGTACTTGATAAGGTCTTCATCACTTCCTCTAACTTTGGTCACCATGTCTACTTTATAAAGTAAATACTTTTACTTTGTTGCATTTTTCTCTAGAAATTTTCATGTCTGTCCCATTTTGCTATACTGTCATAGCTACATCCTTAAGCCACATTTGCCACAAGGCACCTCTGTGGGCTTCCCTGCATTCTAGAAATCTGTAACACTTAAGAATTCTCTTCTAAAGATGCAATTTTAACTAATAATTTTTGCTGTCTTAGTAATCTGCTAGGGTCTCCAGGAACTTGCATAATAAATTAAATCTCCTTATTCTTTATTCTTCACAAAACTGGCTGTCCTCACCAGACAACTCTTACCCTCCTGGTGTCCCCTCAGCAGTCTGTGATCAGAGAAAACATACTTGCACACATTCTGTCTGACTGGCCCCAGCCACTTCCTCCGCCATGCTCACTGCTTAGGAAATCCTTCTACTCCTCCCAACTACCATGCTTTCTTAGAAACTGTCCTGTTTGTTCAACACTACTCTCCTCCCAAGCCTTTCTATATGGAACCAATTTCAGAGTATTAATTGCAGAGATCCATCTCTTGTCTCCAATAACGACAGTCCCCATATAAAGTTCTCTTTAGTTAACTGTCCTTATGTAGCTATACTCTGAAGGCACTCACAGAATGGTTACAAGTGTGGATAACAGATAGAACACAAGTGATTCTTCATCATACTTCTATTGTTAAGTTCAGTTCCTTCAGGGTAGATGCCACACATCTCATCCATTCAACAAAATTTTACCGTGAACCTACTACCTTCTAAGCCTTGGGGATGTAGTGAATAAAATGGATATAAAATTAGATTTAAAAAATCTAATTAAGTTAATTGTAAGTGCTAAAAGAGAAAAAAATAGAGGAGGAAAGAGAACTATGAGGTATTATAGTAAAAGAGAAAAGCAGGTTAAAAATACAGAGAAGGAGATCAAGAAAGACCTTCCTACACAGACTGAGTAAAGGTCTGAAGACTTGTACATGCTCTAGTATTACTTCAGAGCTTTCTGAAGGGTACTGAATCTAATAGTGGCTGTACTAAAAACACCAGTTGTTATTGACATATGAATGAAAATACTCCTAGCCAATACTACTAGGCTATTGCCTTCTCTAGGGCAATTAGAAAGTGGTCACAGGCCCTGTTCACACAAAACAAAGTCACAGGTCACTGATGATGAAATTCATCTTTACAAAGCAAAAAAGAAACAAAGCCTATCTGCAAAGCAAATCCCAATACAGCCCATTTCTAAACAGCTCACTGAAAATAACACAGTATGTCATTAGGTTAAGAAACAAACAAGAATATTTAATAGAGTCTACATTCAAAGAAGACTATAAAAAATATTATGAACCTGAAACTCAGTTCAATGACTTCCACAATGGCTGGTTTCCTTGGGGTAGGGAGAGAGCACAAAATAAACTAAATGTGTTGTTGTTCAAGAGTGTAATTACAAATCCACATAACTTAGTTTAACACAACCTAAGTAAGGCATGGGTACTCAGACAAAGGCATATGCATACTTGTGTTTCTGCATATTCTGAATTCACTTCTAGAATGCATATCTGAGCAAATAGTCCACAATCAACTAATTTGAGAATAAACTGCAAAGGAAATATATTTCACTTACCATCCACCCACTTTGTCTATCTTAAAAACTGATAAATCATTAAAAATAACCATTTAAAAAGTTTATTTTCTTAGCTAGGTACAAGTGGCTCACATCTGTGATCCTAACTATTTGGGAGGCGGAGATTGGGAGGATCACAGTTTGAGGCCAACCTGGGCAAACAGTTGAGAGATCCCTATCTCCAAAAATGACCAGAGCAAAATGGAATGCAGGTGTGGCTCAAGTGGTAAAGTGCCATCAAAAAAAATTATTTTCTTATTTAAAAAATTACTTTTGTACCTCAGTTTTAAGCAAAGGTTCTGTAAAAGAGAATGGTAGCTAAAAGTTGCTATGAGGAGATAAGATGTCCAATTCTATCTCATCAAACTCCTTTCTTTATACAGACCTTTACAAAATATCACTATGTCCTTGCGACAGCCCAAGGATAGTAAGGATGAAAAGTACTGGGTAAATTGCAAAAAGTAATCTAATTTAGTCATGATACAATTGAGAGGAAATTAGTTACACAGCCAGGTGTTTTAGAGCAACATTTAACAGAATTCACATTTCAAACATAATTTTTTAATGTTTTCAGTAATTTCAAAACTAATCAATGGTTCACCTACAAACATACATCTGATCATTTTTAAACAAATGACAAAATCAAAGTGTTTTCAGAGAAAAAGTTCCAAGAGGTAAAACATGAGGCTTAACTTCCCAACTACTATCTAACTACATTCACTACATTTTTAGAGACAATGCCTCAGTATGTTGTTCAGGCCAACTCTGCACTCCAGTGCTAGGCACAAGTCCTCCTCCTGCCTCAGCCTCCCAAGTAACTGGGACACAGGCACATTCCAATACACCCAAGCAAGAAGAGCAGGATTCTCTGTAGGTTTGGGATTTTCTAGCTGTTGTTTGTTTGTTTGTACTTTTTATAAAGATCTTGCTATGGTGCCCAGGCTGGCCTTGAACTCGAGATCTTCCTGCCTCTGCCTCTGAAGTAGCTGTGGTTAAAAGCACCCAACTCCTATCTTATTTTACATGAAAACTTTTGCTTGAAATGTAAGCAAATGCAGAATTTTTGTTTTTGTTTTTAACTCACAAAGCCATTAAGCTTTGATAGCTACACATAACCCTGTGTTTGAAAACATGTAAATCAAAGAAAAAATTCTCTAGTTATATTCCCATTGCTTCTGTGTTTTCCTGAATTCCTCCCCATGACTGTACAAAACATAAAGAATATTTCTTTTGATCCTGAGATAATACGCTTTCTATCTTTTTTTGTCAGAAGCTTGGTCTTGAGAAAGGGGATATGATGAACTAGACTGTTTTGTGTGGACAGTTCAATGAAGACACCTTCATCATTCACCAGCAATAAAACAGACAAAGGATACCCTGAATTAACAGAGCACTTACTATGTTCTGTTCATGTGGCAACAAATCATTTATGTGGGAATATCTGATGTTCATTTGTTCCTTCTTTACCTTCTCAACTAGACTTTTTAGGAAAAGAAGTTAAATCTTACTCTATTTCTCTCTTGCAAAACTTAGTAGTTTATTAAGGAGACATCCAATGATAATGTCCCCTACAAAAAATCTGAGCAATTGGGAAATGAAAACTTCCACACAAAACATACGTTAAAAATGACTAGTGAATATTCTTGATGGCCCAAGAACTAACTCTAATAATTAGGATTTCCATTTACTAAAATAGCATCATCTGAAAATACAGTAAGTGTACGAGATTTAAACTTTCTGAAAGAATATTGGGCCAACTGTATTGATTTTTTACTTAAAAATATTGTCTTAATCTCACAAGTTCTCCCAAAACTCCATATATCTTAAAGATAGTTTTCATAAGTAGATTCTTGCTGCCGTGCTCAGTGAAATTTTAAGTACATATTTAAATTTGAGAAAGTAACTTGACTCAATATTAATGTACAGTATTCTACCTAATCAATGCTAAAGCCTTTTATATAAGAACAGGCATCTTGAATTGTTAAAATGCCCAAATCATAAATCACAGGATCAAACAGCTGAAAGGAGACTTAAAAGTTATCAAGGTGAATTTTCAATAATGTGATATGCTGAGAGATGGTGTGCAGACTGTATTTGAAAACTTTTAGCCGCAGACCCACCATCACTCTGTTCCATGGTCCCAGTGGTCATATATTTTCAGATAGTCATGTCATGCTTGTCTTCCTGGAAAGAAACTATTGGTTCCAGTTCTACAAACAACTCTACTACCTCTTTAACAAAGAATAATAAGACGTTTGCCTTAACAACTTTCTGACAGCTTCATGTGATATCAACAGGAATTTTACTGCAATCAGTCTACTGGATATGGAAAACAAATGTGCCGTTGGTGGTGCAAAGACTGACTCAATTCTGAAAGAAAGCAAATTTCTAGTCAATTAAGGACTCCCAACATATAGGAGCAGACTCTCCTCTGGGAATTCCATTTCTATTTTCTGTATTTGCTACAGCAGGCTGGAACGAAGGGACATTAGGTCTACCAGTTTCTCTCCCATGGAATCAAAGAAGTGGAGACTTTTACTCATGGAAGGCAATGGAGAAATAAGATCCTAGCTTTGAGTTGCCCCTGTCAAGTATCACTCAAGTTAACTCATTAAGATTTCTTTAAACCACTAATAATTATTAGGCCCCTCCTGTAACTAAATATTTACCTAATCCTTATGTAGCCTAGCTTTCTGTTTGTTCATAAAGTTTTGTAGTACTGAATTAAAAGTCTCGCCAACCTCAGTTAAAGTAGATTTCCATCTTTTGTACGTTTTTTAATAAGTTAGAAAGTAATGGTCATAATGTAAAAATTATGCTAATTTCCTTATTAAGAATCTTTAGCATTTTAGAAGCAAATAAAAATTTATATAGATTCTTTAAAGTAGGAATAAACTTATATAAGGAAGCAGATCTATCAATATTCTTGGTTTTGACTTTACTTAAGGAGATATCAAATGACAACTTTTCCTAAAATATCTGCGCAACTGAGAAATGAAAATTTCCATACAAAACTGAAATTGGTAAATATAGTACAGTACCCAGAACTTGATAAAATTTAACAGTTATTACCTTTTTGGCACTTTCGGGACCTGATTCATCAAAGCGAAATCTGACGATTCTGAAATCTTTACAGTAAATAATTAACTCTGTTGGATTAAATTTCAGTTTCTGGTTGGGCCCTAAGACTTTCTGCTTCCTCTTGTGGTCATTTACTAAAAAAGAAAGACAGAGAAAAGTACACTTAAGCCAATTCTTAGTGGAAAACATTGAGAAGGTACCCATCCCTTGATCACTGCTTCTCTGGAATCTTTGTATTTGTCTATAATTCCTAGAACTTTGAGAGGGTGGGGGGGTTTAACTTTGCTCTAGAAGATATTTTAAAAGATTCTATGAATAAGGTCACCATTTCCTAGATACATTTAATGATTAAATTTTTAATTAAAAAGCAGACAAAATTTGTAAGTTATAAAAACTATACATTTTATAGCTCCATCAAAGAAAATTTATTGGTGTCTCTCTCTCAGTAATGTTCCTGGGACTCAAAAACAAACAAACAAACAAACAAAAAACCAACTCACATATTTGAGACTTTAAGCAATAGTTTCAGAACAGAATCAACTTTTAGAGACCCAGTTCTTTTTTTTGAGAGGTGGACTCACTATGGTGCCTATAGTGACCTTGAACTTTTGGGCTCAAGTGATCCTCCCCAGTAGCTGGGGCTACAAGCCACCACACCCAGCTTCAACTTTTAGAGAGAATATGTGCAAAATGCTACATACCTGTGACAATTTGCTCAATACATGTTAAAGGGACATCATGCTCTCCAAGAAGGAGGTTTCTGTAATGGAATTTCTGAAATGAAAAATTAGGTTCACATTAATTCTTTTCTTAGTAACCTTACAGTGGTAATGCAAGCCTTACTTTTAAGTGTGATGGAAAATTTTGACTACTACCACTAACAAGCACAAGAAGTTTTTGCCTGTGTAGTGAGTATCCTTCTAAGGCTATAGTACTTCGGACACACTTCAGTAGTAAAGCAAAGAGGAAAAGAAAGAAATATGTGCAATGTTCGTGTTCTCTTTCTCCCCACCAGAAGGAAATTAAGTTAGGATATATACCACAAAACCACTATAATATCCAAGAAATGAAATATGATAAATCACTTCACAGGCAAACATTTGTATGCCTGGTTCTGGCTAACCTGGCCACAAAATAATAAAGGAAATGGGGATCTTAGGTCATCAGATTTTAAAGGGTGAAATCTACTTAGTTTTCACAATGGAGATTTTATAATGGAAAAACAACGATTTTTCTAGAGCAGAAACTCTACTAGAAATTCCCCGTTCTCCAGATAGGGTCTTGCTATGTAGCCCAGGTTGACTTCGAACTTGAGGTTGTCTTCTTTTGATAAACTAGAGCTCATTGTTTTCACTTGTTAACAAACACTTTATGCCCTTTTTCAAATTAAGGACACAACTGACACTATTAACTTTCTGTCAGTAGATCAATGGTTTAGTTTCTTATTATTGGTACTGGATTTAAGCTACTCCAGGTATATGTTTCTCATTTTCAGTGAAGTCTGAATCGAGAGATCATTTAATGAAGCTAAAAGTAAGGGGGAAACCCAAGTCTACATACAAATAAGCTACTATTCTTACATACTAAGTGTTTTTAAATGCCTTAAATTTAGACTAAACACAGCTACAGAAGATTAATAAACACAAATATACATAAAATATTATGGTAAATTAGTAAATGACTACATTAAAAATAATTACACACAGACCAAAGAAAAGTTTGTAGTTATTATGCAAGTATTTCATTAGGGAACAATTACTGCTATCAATAAAGATTTAAAGGGCAAAAGTGTGTAACACTTTACAAAACAAATACAAAATAGCTAAGAGAAATTTTGGGGATTTTTAACTTAATCAAATGAATGCCTGAACTTTTAAAAACCAAAATGATAAGGAACTATCACTTTCTAGTAAGAATATAGAATAGGGCTGGTGGAATTAAGCAGTAAGAGCGCCTGCCTAGCAAATGTGACACCCTGAGTTTAAAACCCCATGATGCCAAAAAACAAAGGTGAGTTAAGGAGTAATAATATAAAACAGCAACAGGATTATTAAAGAAAAATCATATTAATATTTTTCTTTATCCTTATAGTACACTAGAAACTAGAATTTAACTTTTTGGGAAAAGAACTAGTTTTTTAAAAAACCTTTGAAATCAGTAAAATAGTCAACATTTGTAAGATTATTTACTAAATGAGATTTTCTTTTTATGATTAGTGAAAAAGAATATTTGCTTTTATAAGCAAATATTTTTACAAGTTAAACGGCTTAGAGGAAATAACTCCCGTATTGAAAAAGATACATAACCAATGATCACAGAGGATAAACAAAACACTCCACTAATTCTATTCTTTAAGCAAGTCCCAACATTCTCCTTAGCTTTGAGTTTACATTGCCATTATATTAATCTATTGATAAATATTATAATTTTTCCATATCTGTGGTTTATATAACAGTATGTGCTGCTTAGAGTCAAAGCCTTGACACAATTAAACAGAGTACAAATAAAACACACCTGTAATGGCACTGGGTCATCCGTAAGAAAGGAAATTTTGAAATTACTGCATATCAGCTTTCCCCACAGATCGTACTGGCTTGTGTCTGTTGCAATACATTTTCTCACAAAATTGACTTCATTTACAACAATTTCTCCTTAAAAAAAAACAACAAAACACATCACTGTGTAAGGAGCAACTATGCCATAAAATGTCAATAGTCACTGTGTGCCCTAGAAGGAGGATTTCATGATCTGATGACAATAATAATGATAGTAAGAGGGAACAGTCACTTTTTGCTTAAGTATGCTGGGCACTGTAAATGCTCTGTGTTCTCACAACAGAAATAGTTACAAAGCATTTTTCTTCATTTGTAAGGTATAGAAACTGAGGCGAAAAGAGCTTTGGGATCTGAGCTGATAAAACCAGAAAGGTTGGCTGTTTCAGAATGGAATCAACTTTTAGAGACTCATTTTTTTTTTTTTTTGAGATGATATCCAATATGGTATCCAGGTTGACCTTGAACTCTTGGACTCAACTGATCCTCTCTAGTAGCTGGGGCTATGGACTACCATGCCCAGCTTCAACTTTTAGAGAGATTATGTGCCAATAAGCCTGAACACTTTGCTCTCTGCTGTACTATATCTCATTATTTATTTGTGGAAAGGCATTCTGGTGAAGAAATAAATTACACCCCTTTCTTCAGCGAATTACTGATGGAATACCGGTGTTCCATTAAGATGTGATTTGATCTCTCAAACCATGTCTTTCGTAAAAGATGAGAACCAGCATTCAGCTTTGTTTTAAAATATACTCCACAGGGCTGGAGGCATGGCTCAAGTGGTAGAGGGCCTGCCTAACAAGGCTAAGCACTGACTTCAAACCCCAGTACCACCAATAAAATATATTTCATAAAGTCAAATCTAGTTTACTCTGCATTCAAATTACAACTTAGTAAGCAATAAACTTTAAAATTTGAGTTAAAAGGAAAGATTAGGGAAATAAATGTTAAGAAACCAAAACAAAAGTTACAATGTGCCTTTGAAAAGAGTAATTTTTATGTAATTTATTTAAAGCTTGGTCACCATTAAACCTTAATTTCAAGATCTAAAATTCAACTAGAATAGGAACATATTAAAGCCATCAGTCTCCATGCTCAGTCAGTACTAGAAACAGGGCACTAATCTATTTTTTATCATTATAAACATCTTTAATAGTGATAAATTGAACCTCATGGCTGACAATCCTCAAACACCTACCAGTTCATAAAGAATAAATCTATAGTCTCAAAAACAATCCTCTAACAAAATGTTACAATAAATCTGAGTTGCAAGAATAACTTTTATTCAAAGTTCTTAAAAATTGACAAGGCTAGTTTTAGGAAATGCCCCCTAACATTTACTTGAGGACTTAATTTAAATATGCTTATGTCCAATTTCTGGCTCGAACCACTTGAGCAAATTTCCATTTTGAACACAAACCTCCTTCACCTCAGGATTGCATGTCCAAAGTGGTAGAAAATGGAATAATTTTTATTCAGTGCTGAACCTTTAGTGCATAGAACAGTATCTAGCATATGGCAGGTGCCTGTTAAGTAAGTGCTGACTAAATGAATTAAATCACCTCATTATGCCTGGTTTATTAGACAATCACTACCTTGGACAGGAGCTGTTTGAAAAAGAGCAGAAAACAGTAATCTGTTATGGTCAAGAGCTAAGTAGGTTGAAGATGAGGATTATTCTGGGTAAGCGTATATAAAGTTAGGGGAAAAAAACAAAACAAAACACAGAACAGCCACAGCTTGCCTACACATGTACAGAAAACAGTACAATCCAGCAATGGGGGTTTCTCAACATTCGTCCAGACTGATTTATTCAAGAGCATGTAAGGGTAAGGAAAGATATTTTCTCTAATACAAAGATAAGGGACTGGGATCCAAAGCGGTTAAGTCACTTTCCAAACATCTTAAAAATGTTAAGAAATAAATTTGGAACTTATAACCAAGGGTTCTGATTTCAACTCCAACACAGCCGTTCCTTCATATCTTGGTTTCAGGACCCGGCAGATACTGAATCTGTGGAGGTTCCAGTCCCTCATATAAGACTGTACAGTATTAGCATATAACTTATCTACATTATCTATATCATCTCCAGACTCCTTTAAAATGCCTGGAACAACATAAATAGTTGTTATGCCATATTGTTTAGTAAGTAACAAGAAGAAAAGTGTACATATTCAGTAGAGAGGCAATTCTGTTTTTTGGAATATTTTCTATCAGTAGTTGGTTGAACTCGCTGATGTGGAACCTATAGACACAGAGGCTACTTGTACTTTCCCCTACACTTGCATAAAAATAAATGTACTGTAGTGAGAAAGCCAGCAATAATACTGAATTAAAAATTCAAATACTAGTCCTAACTGGATACTAATGAGAAAAAAATGTTTAAATGACAAAAGTATACATAAAAACTCATTGAGAATTCAAATACATAAAATTCAAATCTTCTAGAGTTCCCTGAACACAAAGCCTACCACCTCCCTTATCAGAATCTGGGCTACTGAATACCTTCTTTCCCCGATCTAAGCTGCCGTTAAGAAGTCCTTAGCTAATAAACCTACTTATTCCTAGTTTGGACAGAGGACAACTTCTTGGAACACTAACTTCCTGGTACAAAACTTCTGGGTCCCAAAGAGCAACTGGCATCACCTCACACTGTGCCACCTTTCTCACCCACCCAATGCTCAAGATTGCTACAAATTCTTCATATGTGGCACTTATGATCTATATGTATTTCTTATGCATGCTGTATGCTGTATTCAAATAAAATTTTACTTAAAAAACACATCACATCATAGGATTTCAGGTTCCTGAGATGGGGAGCAGAGATAACAATGTGAAGAAAGGGATAGAGAGCTTGTGAGGTAGGACGTTGTGGCCATGCTAGTACTACCCACCAATTTTATTTATGAGGCACACACTCTTGACAGGTCATTTTTCTAGCAATCTGATTCTCTTACTGATGCAAGAGTAAAATGTCAAGTCTAGAATGCAGTGAGGTGAGACAAAGAAAATAACACACTTAATGAGTTCAGGGGATGGTAAACCACAGACTGTGGGCCAAATATAGACCCTGTTTTTGTAAATAAAATTTTACTGAAACACAGCCACATTCATTCACTTGTGCACTGTCTTTGGCTGCTTCACAGAACAAAGGCAGAGCCGAGTAAACTGTAACACAGACTTTCTGGCCCACAAAGCTAAAACATTTACTTTCTGGCACTTTACAGAAAAGGTTTGCTGACCCCTGTGTTAGAGATGGTTACTTAAATGAGAGCTCTCAAAATTATCTGAAACAAGGCTCAGAAGATGTTTTTAGGCACTTCCCGTCTGAGGACAGATGCTCTCCATCTGCAATGCTGCAGCCACTCGTGGAGAGCCCTGGAGGCCTACTCAATGCTGAGATGAGGACAGAAAACTTTCCTCCAGAAATGTGTCCATCAGAAGGGGCCAAGACTCTGTTCTCGCTAAGGAGTTGACACACAGCAGAAAGTGCTGTCTGCTCACATATCAATAATCTGCTCATAACTTACAAAAGAGTAAGAAAGAAAAGAAGGTGGCTAAGAGCTGTCAGAAGCTATTGCCAAGCACTGTAATATAATGACTAGAAAATTAGCTTTAGACAGGGAAGAGATACAAAGCCTCCTGTGCCTAGATATTGTATGTAAGAGCACCGAGGCCGTTCTCATTTACATTTTCAACTAGTGACCTTGAGGACTAAACTCATAATAAAAGTTTTAACACTTCAGGGAACATGGGGTTTTCAAGGAGACTGTGCTCCTGAGTCTCTTCTGTGGTGAAGGGTGGCTTGTGTGCTAGAAGACATTCACACCAGCTTGTGAGTCCCTATACCATTCGTCTTCCCGGCTTCCTGCTCAGCACTGTCAGCTGCCAAGCATTTTCTAGGACTGCACTGTGGGAAGTTACAGGAAAGTCTCATGGAAGATAAAGCAAGCAGGAAATTAGTTTCAGTGTGCAGTAAGCAAACAGCACCCTAGAAAAACTTTGTAAATTAGAAGACAGCCAAGAGTTTCTTCCAAGGTCTGAGAATGAATTAAGAAATCAAAGTTTGTTTTCCCAAGACCCTTCCATCTGTAAAGAAAAATGAGAAAGTAAATAAAAAGATAACAATCTCCAAATGGAATAGCTAGGGAAGTTTTTAAACTCCCAAGGACCAAAAAAATCATGCCATATTATCTTTCTTAACACCTTAAACAATTAGAAAATCAATATATATTTGATGAACAGAAATAAATTCTCCCATAAATTTTAGCTTGGAAAATGGCTTAGAACAAAGTCTCACCAAACACAGTGAAAATGAGGAAAGCATAAGGCAGGCAGCAAGGAGCAGGCCTGATTGAAGCAAATACCAGTGAGGTAGTATGTTAGCACGTTATAGTAGTTAAAGAATTTGGACTTTTGTCCTGCTTCAGTAAGATTTCATTTATGCAGGTTCAAGAAGTTTCCAAGCAAGAGTGAAAAGCTACACGCAGATGGTGAGGCATTAGGAAGTGAGTAATAAAGTGCTACCCTCAGGTACTGCAGCAGTGGCCTGAGGAATGGACAGCACCATATATACTGAAGGTCCACAGGTGAAGCATAAACCTAATGCAAAGATACCACAGTCAGTTACATTGTTCACGGTTCCAAGGGCATGGTACCTGTCCTCTGGCCTTTCAAAACAATGTATCTATGAGTTAAAATCAGAACCAGGCTATGATTATCTATGTAGCCTAATTTCAAAAGGGCAGCACATGAACCATCCAAAAGACAGGGTTTTTGTTGTTCTTGTTGTTTGATTTTTTTATTTTCTTTTGCCTGTAAGGGATTCACAATCCAACTGAGGAAGACTCGTGGGTGAGTCAGGAAACAAGAACAGTACATAAATGGTCCAAACAGTGAATATGTAAAAAGTATACAAGACATCTATACAAAAAGGGCATTTTCATTTTCCAGATGGCCTGTGGTTGCATGCTTCTCTGATCTGATTACAAAACACTTGACAATCAGTGCATTCTTTACTGATGTAGTAGTTAATAGATAAAGTGCTGCTGTATTATAGATGGAAAGGAGAAAAAACTAAGCTGACACAGGACTTT